ATGGATACTCCACACTGTTCCTGCATGAGTATGAGGACACTGGTGTTGTTGGTCCCTTGACCTGTTATTTTCTCAGGAAAAGTACGTGTTTGAGTAGGTACTTCAGTAAGTCTAGGTAGGTCATGTATACTGACCGGCTGTCACTGTAAGTTAATACACAATAGCCATCACAGTTTACCCAGACACTTCATATTTTTCTACACTAAACAAATAAAATAAAATACATCATTCTGGCGTTTCTCTCTCATTGACAGTATGAATCTATAATTAATATATATATATATATATATATATATATATATATATATATATATTATATATATATATATATATATATATATATATAATATATATATATATATATATATATATATATATTATATATATATATATATATATATATATATATATCAATGAAATCACGAAACAAGTGATTTTAAATCATTTACCAAACTGCGGCAGGCCAGGACTCGACCCTACGAATCTTGTACCGCCTCCAGAGACAGCACAATGCACGCATCACCTTACCACTACGCCACTGATCCTGCAAGAACCATATTCTTTTTATGTGCCCTCAAAACTAGTGTAAACAAATATTAATAAGAGGTAAATACATAGAAATGGTAACGCAAAGTTCAAGCATGACGCAGGTTACCATAGCAACCAGCGTCCACACAACAGGTCGTAATATTGTTTTACAGTGTTGGTTGCTCCGGTGTGAGGTGTTGTCTGTGTTGCTGGGGGTTACTGTACTAACTTATTTGTGTTGCAAGGGTCGACACTTAGCTCCTGGCCCCGCCAAGAGCTGAATGACCCACACCCATTTTTTTCATGAATATTCTAATACTCCGGGTCACACATCCTAACTGGCCGTGACCTGCTTCACTCTCTCCTAGGCTTGTGGGTCACACATCCTAACTGGTCGTGACCTGCTTCACTCTTTCCTAGGCTTGTGGGTCACACATCCTAATTGGTCGTGACCTGCTTCACTCTCCCCTAGACTTGTGGGTCACACATCCTAACTGGCCGCGATCTGCTTCACTCTCTCCTAGGCTTGTGGGTCCAGTCATACCTAGTATTAAAGCTGTGTACAAAGCCTGCCTCCACCACCACCTTATCTAGTCATCTCACTTTCTAACCACCCTGAAGCTGAAGAAATATTTCCTGACATTCCTATTGATCATCAGTGTGATAGTGCACCAGTTTCAACCTCCAGGGCAGTTTATATCTGCCCTTCCTATCATTCCCTCTAAGTATATTGTTCATGGTCATCATGCTTTCCCTGGTACTAAGATGTGCTAAGATATTATAACCTAAATTTACGTCCTGGGACTCAGGTACTAGCCTGCTGCTGTTGTGGCCTTCACATTCTTTATTAACAAGGTCACAAGACCTGGGGATCTGACCATCAACAACACACTCGGGGGTCAGAGACGAAGCTTTTTGAGATACACAAAAAATCTGTTATTGTTTTGATATATGTATACAGAATAGTATACATGTATGCAGAATCGTATACATGTTATATACAGGGTCGTAAATGATTGTTGAGGATCAATATTCTGAGATCTTCCAGCGCACATCCGCTGCTGCAGTTATTCACTCAATGCGAGACTTAGGTGCTATGTTAGGTACTATGATCACTCTGAGGTTCTCAGGTGCTATGTTAGGTACTATGCTCACTCTGAGGTTCTCAGGTGCTATGTTAGGTACTATGCTCACTCTGAGGTTTTCAGGTGCTATGCTAGGTGCTATGCTCACTCTGAGGTTCTCAGGTGCTATGCTAGGTGCTATGCTCACTCTGAGGTTCTCAGGTGCTATGCTAGGTGCTATGCTCAGTCTGAGGTTCTCAGGTGCTATGCTAGGTGCTATGCTCAGTCTGAGGTTCTCAGGTGCTATGCTAGGTGCTATGCTCAGTCTGAGGTTCTCAGGTGCTATGCTAGGTACTATGCTCACTCTGAGGTTCTCAGGTGCTATGATAGGTGCTATGCTCACTCTGAGGTTCTCAGGTGCTATGCTAGGTACTATGCTCACTCTGAGGTTCTCAGGTACTATGCTAGGTACTATGCTCACTCTGAGGTTCTCAGGTGCTATGATAGGTGCTATGCTCACTCTGAGGTTCTCAGGTGCTATGCTAGGTACTATGCTCACTCTGAGGTTCTCAGGTGCTATGCTAGGTGCTATGCTCACTCTGAGGTTCTCAGGTGCTATGCTAGGTGCTATGCTCACTCTGAGGTTCTCAGGTGCTATGCTAGGTGCTATGCTCACTCTGAGGTTCTCAGGTGCTATGCTAGGTACTATGCTCACTCTGAGGTTCTCAGGTGCTATGCTAGGTGCTATGCTCACTCTGAGGTTCTCAGGTATTATGCTAGGTACTATGCTCACTCTGAGGTTCTCAGGTACTATGCTAGGTACTATGCTCACTCTGAGGTTCTCAGGTGCTATGCTAGGTACTATGCTCACTCTGAGGTTCTCAGGTGCTATGCTAGGTGCTATGCTCGTTGTGAGACTCTCTAGCTGAACTATTTTACAGGTTTTTGAAGCGCTAAACACGTGTGAGATATTCAACCCAAGAAGTGGCGAAGGTTCAAACTCCCGTCCTCATATTCACCACACTATCATATTCACCACACTATCATATTCACCACACTATTATATTCACCACACTATCATATTCACTACACTATTATATTCACCACACTATCATATTCACCACACTATTATATTCACCACACTATCATATTCACTACACTATTTATTCACCACACTATCATATTCACCACACTATTATATTCACCACACTATCATATTCACCACACTATCATATTCACCACACTATCATATTCACCACACTATCATATTCACCACACTATTATATTCACCACACTATCATATTCACCACACTATTATATTCACCACACTATCATATTCACCACACTATTATATTCACCACACCATTATATTCACCACACTATCATATTCACCACACTATCATCACATCTACCATAAAGTATCATCATATTCACCACACTATCATATTCACTACACTATCATATTCGCCACACTATCATATTCACCACACACTATCATCATATTCGCCACATACTATCATATTCGCCACACACTATCATCATATTCGCCACACACTATCATCATATTCACCACACCCTATCATCATATTCACCACACACTATCATCATATTCGCCACATACTATCATATTCGCAACACACTATCATCATATTCGCCACGCACTATCATCATATTCACCACACACTATCATCATATTCGCCACACACTATCATAATATTCACCACACACTATCATCATATTCACCACACCCTATCATCATATTTGCCACACACTATTATCATATTCACCACACACTATCATTATATTCGCCACACTATCATCATATTCACCACACACTATCATCATATTCACCACGCACTATCATCATATTCACCACACACTATCATCATATTCACCACGCACTATCATCATATTCACCACACGTTTTCATCATATTCACCACACACTATCATCATATTCACCACACACTATTATCATATTCACCACACACTATCATCATATTCACCACGCACTATCATCATATTCACCACACACTATCATCATATTCACCACACACTATCATATTCACCACACACTATCATCATATTCCCCACACACTATCATCATATTCACCACGCACTATCATCATATTCACCACACACTATCATCATATTCACCACGCACTATCATCATATTCACCACACATTATCATCATATTCACCACACACTATCATCACATTCACCACACACTATCATCATATTCATCACACACTATCATCATATTCACCACACACTATCATCATATTCACCACACACTATCATCATATTCACCACACATTATCATCATATTCACCACACATTATCATCATATTCACCACGCACTATCATCATATTCACCACACACTACCATCATATTCACCACACATTATCATCATATTCACCACACATTATCATCATATTCACCACGCACTATCATCATATTCACCACACACTATCATCATATTCACCACGTACTATCATCATATTCACCACGCACTATCATCATATTCACCACGTACTATCATCATATTCACCACGTACTATCATCATATTCACCACGCACTATCATCATATTCACCACGCACTATCATCATATATTATTAAAATGTCTGGTACAATTGTCGTGACGTCACAGGGGGTCATGGCTACCACATCAACAATCATGGTACAACTGTCGTGACGTCACAGGGGGTCATGGCTACCACATCAACAATCATGGTACAATTGTCGTGACGTCACAGGGGGTCATGGCTACCACATCAATAATCATGGTACAACTGTCGTGACGTCACAGGGGGTCATGGCTACCACATCAACAATCATGGTACAACTGTCGTGACGTCACAGGGGGTCATGGCTACCACATCAACAATCATGGTACAACTGTCGTGACGTCACAGGGGGTCATGGCTACCACATCAACAATCATCAGTCAATTCCAAACTAACATTCCAAAGTCTTGTTTTGGTTTCACAAACATACGATTACTTTTCTCTGGATATTCTTGGAAATTTTATCTTCAAATAACAGATTTATTTCTCGTTATTCACGGGAGAATTTGTTGGTTGGAATTTGTGGGTCGGGATGTTGTTACCCCTTTGATGATGTAGTGATTCTGGTTTATTGAATGTTCCATTGACATAAAGAAGAGGGGAAGGGGTGAGGGAGAGGATGTGGGGGATGGGGTGAGGGGAGAGGAGGTGGGGGATGGGGTGAGGGGAGAGGCGGTGGGGGATGGGGTGAGGGGAGGGGAGGTGGGGATGGGGTGAGGGGAGAGGCGGTGGGGGATGGGGTGAGGGGAGATGAGGTGGGGGATGGGGTGAGGGGAGGGGAGGTGTGGGGGATGGGGTGAGGGGAGGGGAGGTGGGGGGGATGGGAGGAAGTGAGGGGAGAGAAAAGTCGACTGGCCAAGCTCTACTAGCCAATGCAGTCTATTGTGATCAACTAGAGAGGTCACACTGCTGCTTGTAGGTCACCATCTTCTGTGACCTTTTGTTGTGTTTGAAATAAGAGACTTGTATTGATATTATACAGAGACACACGAGGCCTGCACCTCCAGGCACTCATATATCTTCACATTCCTGACACAGTAGAAGTGGTGCTGCAGGAGGTGGTCCCCGGCGTGTGATGGTGGAGGTGTGTGTGTGTCAGGATGCAGGGCAGGTGGGCAGGCTTCAGCAGGTGGTGTGGGCACAGCAGGAGAGCAGAACCAGCAGGTGGTGTGGACCAGATGGTGCTGCTGGAAGTGACCATCTTACTGCTGCTGCTGCTGGAGGCACACACAACTCAGGGTTTTAAGGTATTCCATTTATTATTATTGTTAGCAGTAGTAGTACTGAGCTTGGAGAATGTGAGACAGTCAGTCTTGATGCCAAGACGTGGAGTGTAGCTCCAGTTTTTAGGATCAAGAGACTTCCAGCAGTATTTAAATAATACAAAAAAAAAATAGAAATAGAGAGGACCAGGAGGTGCTTGAACCTGATGTATAAAATATTCATGGTACTATGTGGTGTTAACTTATTAAGTTTAAACTCCATTTACTACAAGATGATCATTAAGGCTGTATGTCATTTATACACCACCAGTCAAGAATACTTTATTACCTAAAGTAGGGAGTAAGTTATAACTAATTGTATATGTACTAAGATATACATCTCTGCATGCTATATAAACTGCTGCTATTAAAGTATGCATATGAAGGGATATTCTCTGGTATACATTATATACACAGTAAGGTCGATAAGGTGGAGGAAGCAACAAATTCTCCTGGGAAAAAGTATATAATTATTTTTTAAACTGTTGTATGTGTGCGCCTCTGGCAAGACAGTGACAATGATGGTACTGGTGGTTCTTTCTCAGGTCATCCTACATGTACCTCGGTGGGAGACAGCCAGCGTCTTAAAAATTTGTTGTACAGGCAATTTCTGTCATTTTTGTCTAGAATTTATAATAATAATAATAATAATAATAATAATAATAATAATAATAATAATAATAATAATAATAATAATAATAATAATAATAATAATAAAGGTATCCTGGCGCTTACAGACTCCAGACACAAGTGTGAAGCTGAAGAAGGAGGATCTTAAGTTCTTGTTCGGAGACGCTGACGGTGAGTGTCTCACAGTAACCTTCAGTCAGTCTTTATTATCTCGTAGTTATTTATAAGGAATAATAAATAATATATTAGTTATAAATATCTCACATAAATTAGAATACGAATAGGTTAGGTTAGGTAAGATTTGTCAAGAAGCGACAATCTACATGAGGTTTTAGTCATAGTGACTGAGACCTTCCACTGGCTTAGTTGGTTAGTAATGTTTGTCAGGAAACAGGACGAGTATTTCCTGACGCGGGTTTGAATCATATACTGACCCACAGCTGGAGCTTTTGGTCATCTGACAGAGGACTTCCGCTGGCTTACCAATCCACCTTTTTATAAATTATGGTTATAGATATAACCATTTATTTTTGAATGGTTTATACATCCAGGTCCCAAAAATATTAAAATTAATTTAACAATTTCTCTCGCTTAATTATAATATGGAAAAATTTAGCAAGTAAATAACAAACAATATTTTACTCTCTTGCAATAAAAATTGTTATATTTGAAAGAAAACGATAAATTCGTATGGGTTACTCAGCCCAGCATTCAGTTTCCCTTTAATTTATGATGATGGTGTAAAGTCCCGGGATGACCCACAGTACCGCCACACTCCATCATTAACATCAAGAGTCACTCCAGGGAGAAAAGGTCATCGTCCAACCTAACGGAGTACCCTGGATTTATTGACCTGACCCTCAGTGATGACCACGACCAGGTGGAGTTCGAGTTACGACCCAACTACGACCTGTTGTCGCCCAGGTTTATGTTGGTGGTACGTGGGGAGGAGGGTGTGACCCAGGAGAGGGGCGTGCCCGGCCACACCTGTTATTACTCTGGTCTGGCCAAGGGCAGACCTGACACTGCTGCAGCTCTCTCCAACTGTGACGGTCTGGGATATGTGAGTCATGATGTAGCCTCTTATGCCTGCACCTTGCTTCATACCACTTGAAGCACCCTGGCAGCACCCGCACTGTGTATGATACCACTTGAAGCACTCTGGCCGCACCTGCACTGTGTATGATACCACTTGAAGCACCCTGGCAGCACCTGCACTGTGTATGATACCACTTGAAGCACCCTGGCAGCACCTGCACTGTGTATGATACCACTTGAAGCACTCTGGCAGCACCTGCACTGTGTATGATACCACTTGAAGCACTCTGGCAGCACCTGCACTGTGTATGATACCACTTGAAGCACCCTGGCAGCACCTGCACTGTGTATGATACCACTTGAAGCACTCTGGCAGCACCTGCACTGTGTATGATACCACTTGAAGCACTCTGGCAGCACCTGCACTGTGTATGATACCCTTGAAGCACTCTGGCAGCACCTGCACTGTGTATGATACCACTTGAAGCACTCTGGCCGCACCTGCACTGTGTATGATACCACTTGAAGCACCCTGGCAGCACCTGCACTGTGTATGATACCACTTGAAGCACCCTGGCAGCACCTGCACTGTGTATGATACCACTTGAAGCACTCTGGCAGCACCTGCACTGTGTATGATACCACTTGAAGCACTCTGGCAGCACCTGCACTGTGTATGATACCACTTGAAGCACCCTGGCAGCACCTGCACTGTGTATGATACCACTTGAAGCACTCTGGCAGCACCTGCACTGTGTATGATACCACTTGAAGCACTCTGGCAGCACCTGCACTGTGTATGATACCCTTGAAGCACTCTGGCAGCACCTGCACTGTGTATGATACCACTTGAAGCACTCTGGCCGCACCTGCACTGTGTATGATACCACTTGAAGCACTCTGGCAGCACCTGCACTGTGTATGATACCACTTGAAGCACTCTGGCAGCACCTGCACTGTGTATGATACCACTTGAAGCACTCTGGCAGCACCTGCACTGTGTATGATACCACTTGAAGAACTCTGGCAGCACCTGCACTGTGTATGATACCACTTGAAGCACTCTGGCAGCACCTGCACTGTGTATGATACTACTTGAAGCACTCTGGCAGCACCTGCACTGTGTATGATACCACTTGAAGCACTCTGGCAGCACCTGCACTGTGTATGATACTACTTGAAGCACTCTGGCAGCACCTGCACTGTGTATGATACCACTTGAAGCACTCTGGCAGCACCTGCACTGTGTATGATACCACTTGAAGCACTCTGGCAGCACCTGCAACATTGCGATAACACGTTCTACTGTGTTATATACATACCACCTGCAACATTCTAGTAGTACTTACAGCACTACGATAGTACCTGCAGTATTATCGGTAGTGCATGCAGGAGGGGAAGGACAGAGGTAGGCAAGATCATCAATATATAAATTATCCACCAGCTGGACTCTCAGTGATCTGAAGAATCATGGCGGCCAGCTGGTGGAAGGGAACACATTACGTCTAGCAGCAGAATATAGAAGACGTCATATTGCATATTTTATATTTATTGACTAGTTCCTCGCTGGGCCACATCCACACTGACTAGCTAATCATTTCCTAAGGTCTCTCTACGTACAAGTGCACGACAACCTGCAAAACACGCACACACACACAAATGGGCCAGGAGCTTCGACTTGACTCATGCAATCACATATGAGTACAAACACACACACACACACACACACACACACACACACACACACACACACACACACACACACACACACACACACACACACACACCCATGGTCTCAGCTTGAAGCAACAAATATATCTCTTTCCTGTCTGACAGGAACAGAAACACGTTAGTGGGAGAGAACAGAAGCAGCGATGCTCAGGGTTTACGAAATAATGAATCTTATGAAGTCGAAACTTTTATAATCTTCTGAAAGAGAAAAGAAAGTGGTTGAAATTCTATTTAAAAATATTAATGATGAAAGAGGATGAATTACTGTTTTAGGGAATAATGTAACACATCAGGAAGAAATTAATGTTGAAACATGAATTAATAAAAGGTATTGAATCAGCACTACACGTGAACTGTCTTAGAGTCGTCAACAGATAGTGCTTAATAAGCTTGTATTTTCACAATATTCCACTCTATGTAGAGCTTTTTGACTTGAAGCTTTAAAAAGAGTGCAACAGTGACCCAATTAAAGGTTGTTGTATAACGTATGTTTGAGTACAACATGTGTCAGCTGAGAATATAGAACCAGATGGACCAGAGACTAACACAACAAATAATATATAGAAAAGCAGATAACAAGAATACAAAAGAATATAAGACAAAATCTTCCTCGAGGCCTGAGACTTCAACTGGACCGCGGGGGCAGTGACCCCCTCCCCGGGAATCATCCACAATTATCTACAGGAATCATGTACAGGGATCCTCTACAGTTATTGCAAAAGTAATAAGGAAGTGAAAACAACCAGAGAGCCTCAGTGGAAGGCCACCAACACTCATCTTACAACTCTATAACAGAAACGAAATAAGGCTGGAAATTCTATACTCCAGTGAATCTCAGGTCCACTTACCGGGCCCAAGGGTTGATGCTCAACACTTATAAGTCCCGAGGATTGAGTACACACACATACACGTGTTGGATGAGTACCTAACATGCCGGATGTGTACACACACATATGTATGTTGATTTAATGCATGCATGCTGATTTCGCACATGCAGCGTGACTACACACAGATTTAATACACATAAATGTGGAGGCAAGAATACACTCTTTAGCTGAGTACATACACTGAAAAATATGAAAAACCTATGTGAGTACATTCATGGCTGCTATAAATCACCTGCAGCAGTCACCTTCTTTCACTGGCCTACACATATTAACATTTTCTATACAACAACAACAACAATAATAATAATAATAATAATAATAATAATAATAATAATAATAATAATAATAATAATAATAATAATAATAATAATAATAATAATAATAATAATAACAATAATAATAACTGGTTCAGACTGGGGTGATTATGTCGTCAAACTACACTCACCTGGTACGACCTCTGCCGACCAATCATCTACGTAGACGACGTCAGACATCATCCAACAAGGATGTGCACGAGGCTGGTGGCGTCACCGCTGATGGTCTCCACGTCATCCATAACAAGAACAAGAACTCCAAATGTGCCGTCTTTGGTGAGTGCTTGATCTTGTTGGTAAATGTGCAGTGGTGTTTGTTAACTGTTAGGTGTTTGGTGATTGTTGGTGTTTGGTGATTGTTGTAGATAAGTGGTGATTATTGTAGGTGTTTGGCAATTGTTGGTGTTCGGTGATTGTTAGTGATTGTTGGTGTTTGGTGATTGTTGTAGATGTTCGAGTATTTGAAAATTCTTGAATTTACAAAGTACATTTAGAGTAACACACTTGTGGTAATATATTAAGACTGACACTAACATGGATAGTGAAGATATGACTGATTACTTAACATATCTCACATGTTTCATACGTGAACCATGACTACTGACACGTGATATATGTACCACTACTAATATTGTTACTACCACTACTACTACAGATATCTGAATATTACAGATCTGAACGCCATGAGAGCTCCTCGTGTAATCATAGACCTGGCTAATGAGAACAACATTGAACAAAATGATGAACAAAGCAGTGATAACAGTGGTGATACAAGCCACCACAAGATAGATAAGCGTGCCACCACTGCTGATAGACAGATTGAGACAGCTGTGTTTGTTGACGATGCTATGTATAACGTTATCAAAGATCGTAATCCCAGCTTAGACGTTATAAAAACCATCACTGACTTAGTGTTGACTATCATGAACGCGGTGAGTGTCTCTTTGTCCAGATATGTTGATAACATCCAGAAAAAAGGCTGTATTTACGATTTTGTATTATTTTGACTCTATACAGAGTTATTTGGAAAATCTAAGCGATGTTAAATACACTATGATGATGTTTTGTTATGAGTTTATGATGTGAGTGGTAGTTACATCATACTACAGTGTGGTAGTTACATCATACTACAGTGTGGTAGTTACATCATACTACAGTGTGGTAGTTACATCATACTACAGTGTGGTAGTTTACATCATACTACAGTGTGGTAGTTACATCATACTACAGTGTGGTAGTTACATCATACTACAGTGTGGTAGTTACATCATACTACAGTGTGGTAGTTACATCATACTACAGTGTGGTAGTTACATCATACTACAGTGTGGTAGTCACATCATACTACAGTGTGGTAGTCACACCATACTACAGTGTGGTAGTTACATCATACAAGTGTGGTAGTTACATCATACTACAGTGTGGTAGTTACATCATACTACAGTGTGGTAGTTACATCATACTACAGTGTGGTAGTTACATCATACTACAGTGTGGTAGTCACACCATACTACAGTGTGGTAGTCACACCATACTACAGTGTGGTAGTTACATCATACTACAGTGTGGTAGTTACATCATACTACAGTGTGGTAGTTACATCATACTACAGTGTGGTAGTCACACCATACTACAGTGTGGTAGTCACACCATACTACAGTGTGGTAGTTACATCATACTACAGTGTGGTAGTCACATCATACTACAGTGTGGTAGTCACACCATACTACAGTGTGGTAGTTACATCATACTACAGTGTGGTAGTTACATCATACTACAGTGTGGTAGTTACATCATACTACAGTGTGGTAGTCACATCATACTACAGTGTGGTAGTCACACCATACTACAGTGTGGTAGTTACATCATACAACAGTGTGGTAGTTACATCATACTACAGTGTGGTAGTTACATCATACTACAGTGTGGTAGTTACATCATACTACAGTGTGGTAGTTACATCTATACTACAGTGTGGTAGTCACACCATACTACAGTGTGGTAGTCACACCATACTACAGTGTGGTAGTTACATCTACTACAGTGTGGTAGTTACATCATACTACAGTGTGGTAGTTACATCATACTACAGTGTGGTAGTCACACCATACTACAGTGTGGTAGTCACACCATACTACAGTGTGGTAGTTGCATCATACTACAGTGTGGTAGTCACATCATACTACAGTGTGGTAGTCACACCATACTACAGTGTGGTAGTCACACCATACTACAGTGTGGTAGTTACATCATACTACAGTGTGGTAGTCACATCATACTACAGTGTGGTAGTCACACCATACTACAGTGTGGTAGTCACACCATACTACAGTGTGGTAGTTACATCATACTACAGTGTGGAAGTTACATCATACTACAGTGTGGTAGTTACATCATACTACAGTGTGGTAGTCACATCATACTACAGTGTGGTAGTTACATCATACTACAGTGTGGTAGTCACGTCATACTACAGTGTGGTAGTCACATCATACTACAGTGTGTTAGTCACACCATACTACAGTGTGGTAGTTACATCATACTACAGTGTGGTAGTCACACCATACTACAGTGTGGTAGTTACATCATACTACAGTGTGGTAGTCACACCACACTACAGTGTGGTAGTTACATCATACTACAGTGTGGTAGTCACACCATACTACAGTGTGGTAGTTACATCATACTACAGTGTGTTAGTCACACCATACTACAGTGTGGTAGTTACATCATACTACAGTGTGGTAGTCACACCATACTACAGTGTGGTAGTTACATCATACTACAGTGTGGTAGTCACACCATACTACAGTGTGGTAGTCACACCACACTACAGTGTGGTAGTCACACCACACTACAGTGTGGTAGTCACACCATGCTACAGTGTGGTAGTTACATCATACTACAGTGTGGTTGTCACACCATACTACAGTGTGGTAGTCACACCATGCTACAGTGTGGTAGTTACATCATACTACAGTGTGGTTGTCACACCATACTACAGTGTGGTAGTCACACCATGCTACAGTGTGGTAGTTACATCATACTACAGTGTGGTTGTCACACCATACTACAGTGTGGTAGTCACACCATGCTACAGTGTGGTAGTCACATCATACTACAGTGTGGTAGTCTCATCATACTACAGTGTGGTAGTTACACCATACTACAGTGTGGTAGTCACACCATACTACAGTGTGGAAGTTACACCATACTACAGTGTGGTAGTCACACCATACTACAGTGTGGTGGTTACACCATACTACAGTGCGGTAGTTACACCATACTACAGTGTGGTGGTCACACCATACTACAGTGCGGTAGTTACACCATACTACAGTGTGGTAGTCACACCATACTACAGTGTGGTAGTTACACCAAACTACGGTGTGGTAGTCACACCATACTACAGTGCGGTAGTTACATCACACTATAGTGTGGTAGTCACATCATACTAGAGTGTGGTAGTCACACCATACTACAGTGTGGTAGTCACACCATACTACAGTGTGGTAGTCTCATCATACTACAGTGTGGTAGTCACACCATACTACAGTGTGGTAGTCACATCATACTACAGTGTGGTAGTCACACCATACTACAGTGTGGTAGTCACACCATACTACAGTGTAATTGATACATCATACTACAGTGTGGAAGTCACACCATACTACAGTGTGGTAGTCTCATCATACTACAGTGTAATTGATACATCATACTACAGTGTGGAAGTCACACCATACTACAGTGTGGTAGTTACACCATACTACAGTGTGGTAGTCACATCATACTACAGTGTGGTAGTCACACCATACTACAGTGTGGTAGTCACACCATACTACAGTGTGGTAGTCTCATCATACTACAGTGTAATTGATACATCATACTACAGTGTGGAAGTCACACCATACTACAGTGTGGTAGTTACACCATACTACAGTGTGGTAGTCTCATCATACTACAGTGTGATTTTTACATCATACTACAGTGTGGTAGTCACACCATACTACAGTGTGGTAGTCTCATCATACTACAGTGTGGTAGTTACATCATACTTCAGTGTGGTAGTCACACCATACTACAGTGTGGTAGCTACATCATACTACAGTGTGGTAGTTACATCATACTACAGTGTGGTAGTTATATCATACTACAGTGTGGTAGTTACATCATACTACAGTGTGGTAGTCTCATCATACTACAGTGTGGTAGTTACATCATACTTCAGTGTGGTAGTTACATCATACTACAGTGTGGTAGTTACATCATACTACAGTGTGGTAGTTACATCATACTACAGTGTCGTAGTTACATCATACTACAGTGTGGTAGTTACATCATACTACAGTGTGGTAGTTACATCATACTACAGTGTGGTAGTTACATCATACTACAGTGTGGTAGTTACATCATACTACAGTGTGGTAGTCTCATCATACTACAGTGTGGTAGTTACACCATACTACAGTGTGGTAGTTACATCATACTACAGTGTGGTAGTCACACCATACTACAGTGTGGTAGTCACACCATACTACAGTGTGGTAGTTACATCATACTACAGTGTGGTAGTCTCATCATACTACAGTGTGGTAGTTACATCATACTACAGTGTGGTAGACACACCATACTACAGTGTTGTAGTCACACCATACTACAGTGTGGTAGTCTCATCATACTACAGTGTGGTAGTTACACCATACTACAGTGTGGTAGTCACACCATACTACAGTGTGGTAGTCACACCATACTACAGTGTGGTAGCCTCATCATACTACAGTGTGATTGTTTCATCATACTACAGTGTGGTAGTTACATCATACTCCAGTGTGGTAGTTACATCATACTTCAGTGTGGTAGTTACATCATACTACAGTGTGGTAGTTACATCATACTTCAGTGTGGTAGTTACATCATACTACAGTGTGGTAGTTACATCATACTACAGTGTGGTAGTTACACCATACTGCAGTGTGGTAGTTACACCATACTACAGTGTGGTAGTCAAACCATACTACAGTGTGGTAGTCACGTCATACTACTGTGTGGTAGTTACACCATACTACAGTGTGGTAGTTACATCATACTATAGTGTGGTAGTTACACCATACTGCAGTGTGGTAGTTACACCATACTACAGTGTGGTAGTCAAACCATACTACAGTGTGGTAGTCACGTCATACTACTGTGTGGTAGTCACACCATACTACAGTGTGGTAGTCTCATCATACTACAGTGTGGTTGTTACATCATACTACAGTGTGGTAGTCACACCATACTACAGTGTGGTAGTCACACCATGCTACAGTGTGGTAGTCTCATCATACTACAGTGTGGTAGTTACATCATACTTCAGTGTGGTAGTCACGTCATACTACTGTGTGGTAGTCACACCATACTACAGTGTGGTAGTCTCATCATACTACAGTGTGGTAGTCACACCATACTACAGTGTGGTAGTCTCATCATACTACAGTGTGATTGTTACATCATACTACAGTGTGGTAGTTACACCATACTGCAGTGTGGTAGTTACACCATACTACAGTGTGGTAGTCAAACCATACTACAGTGTGGTAGTCACGTCATACTACTGTGTGGTAGTTACACCATACTACAGTGTGGTAGTTACATCATACTACAGTGTGGTAGTCACATCATACTACAGTGTGGTAGTCACACCATACTACAGTGTGGTAGTCACATCATACTACAATGTGGTAGTCACATCATACTACAGTATGGTAGTCACATCATACTACAGTGGTAGTCACATCATACTACAGTGGCAGTCACATCATACTACAGTGGTAGTCACATCATACTACAGTGGTAGTCACTTCGTACTACAGTGGTAGTCACATCATACTACAGTGGTAGTCACATCATACTACAGTGGTAGTCACATCATACTACAGTGGTAGCCACATCATGCTACAGTGGTAGTCGCATCATAGTACAGTGGTAGTCACATCATACTACATTGGTAGTCACATCATACTACAGTGGTAGGCACATCATGCTACAGTGGTAGTCACATCATACTACAGTGGTAGTCACATCATACTACAGTGGTAGTCACATGATGCTACAGTGGTAGTCACATCATACTACAGTAGTAGTCACATCATGCTACAGTGGTAGTCACATCATACTACAGTGGTAGTCACATCATACTACAGTGGTAGTCACATCATACTAGAGTGGTAGTCACATCATACTACAGTGGTAGTCACATCATACTACAGTGGTAGTCACATCATACTACAGTGGTAGTCACATCATTCTACAGTGGTAGTCACATCATACTACAGTAGTAGTCACATCATACTACAGTAGTAGTCACATCATACTACAGTGGTAGTCACATTATACTACAGTGGTAGCCACATCATACTACAGTGGTAGTCACATCATGCTACAGTGGTAGTCACATCATACTACAGTGGTAGTCACATCATACTACAGTGGTAATCACATCATACTACAGTAGTAGTCACATCATGCTACAGTGGTAGTCACATCATGCTACAGTGGTAGTCACATCATACTACAGTGGTAGTCACATCATACTACAGTGGTAGTCACATCATACTACATGTGGCAGTCACATCAATATGTTGCCGGTCTTTCATGATGTGTTTACAAATAATAAAGTATAATAAAAATTGAACATGTGTACACTTGAACAAAGCACATATGTACACCTGCCCTCTCCCTCCTCAGGCGTACATGTACACCTGTGACAGATGTGGTCTGCCGGCAGGTACACCTGATGTACAACTCACCCTCACTGGACACACATCTGACCATCACACTGGTCAGACTTGACATCATCAAGTCATCCTCCAGCGGTCCACCCAAGGCCAGCGGTAACATTCAACTGTGAGTATGTAATTACTGTCACACACACACACACACACACACACACACACACACACACACACACACACACACACACACACACACACACACACACACACACACACACACACACACACACACACACACACACACAGTGGGACAGAGAAATGGTAGGAAAATCAGTAAACGAGATGATGGATTATGAGGCAACAAAGTGCAAGGAGGCAGAGGAAAGGTTCGTTCCCAAGGGAAACAGAAATAATAGGAAGACCAAAACGAGTCCTTGGTTTACCCGAAGGTGTAGGGAGGCAAAAACTAAGTGCAACAGAGAATGGAAAAGGTACAGGAGGCATAGGACCCAGGAAAACAAGGAGATTAGTAGAAGAGCCAGAAACGAGTATGCACAGATAAGGAGGGAGGCCCAGCGACAGTATGAAAACGACATAGCATCGAAAGTCAAATCTGATCCGAAACTGCTGTATAGCCACATTAGGAGGAAGACAACAGTCAAGGACCAGGTGATAAGGCTGAGGAAAGAAGGTGGAGAACTCACAAGAAACGATCAAGAGGTATGTGAGGAGCTCAGCATGAGATTTAATGAAGTATTTACAGTAGAGACAGGAAGGACTCTGGGGGGACAGACCAGATGGGGACACCAGCAAGGAATACACCAACAAGTGTTGGACGACATACATACAGATGAGGAGGAGGTGAAGAAACTGCTAAGGGACATCGATACCTCAAAGGCAGTGGGACCGGACAACATCTCCCCGTGGGTCCTTAGAGAGGGAGCAGATATGTTGTGCGTGCCACTTACAACAATCTTCAACACATCCCTGGAAACTGGGCAACTACCTGAGGTATGGAAGACGGCAAATGTAGTTCCCATTTTTAAAAAAGGAGACAGAAAAGAGGCACTAAACTATAGACCTGTGTCATTGACGTGTATAGTATGCAAAGTTATGGAGAAGATTATCAGGAGGAGAGTGGTGGAGCACCTGGAAGGGAACAAGAGTATAAATGCCAACCAGCGCGGATTCATGGAAGGCAAATCCTGTGTCACAAACCTTCTGGAGTTTTATGATAAAATAACAGAAGTAAGACACGAGAGAGAGGGGTGGGTTGATTGCATCTTCTTGGACTGCAAGAAGGCCTTTGACACAGTTCCTCACAAGAGATTAGTGCAGAAGCTAGAGCATCAGGCGCATATAACAGGAAGGGCACTGCAATGGATCAGAGAATACCTGACAGGGAGGCAACAACGAGTCATGGTACGTAATGATGTATCACAGTGGGCACCTGTGACGAGCGGGGTCCCACAGGGGTCGGTCCTAGGACCAGTGCTATTTTTGGTATATGTGAACGAATGATGGAAGGGTTAGACTCAGAAGTGTCCCTGTTTGCAGATGATGTGAAGTTAATGAGGAGAATTAAATCTGATGAGGACCAGGCAGGACTTCAGAGAGACCTGGACAGACTGGACACCTGGTCCAGCAAATGGCTTCTCGAATTTAATCCTGCCAAATGCAAAGTCATGAAGATAGGGGAAGGGCACAGAAGACCACAGACAGAGTATAGGCTAGGTGGCCAAAGACTGCAAACCTCACTCAAGGAGAAAGATCTTGGGGTGAGTATAACACCGAGCATGTCTCCGGAAGCACACATCAATCAGATAACTGCTGCAGCATATGGGCGCCTGGCAAACCTGAGAACAGCATTCCGATACCTTAGTAAGGAATCGTTCAAGACACTGTACACCGTGTATGTCAGGCCCATACTGGAGTATGCAGCACCTGTTTGGAACCCGCACTTGATAAAGCACGTCAAGAAACTAGAGAAAGTACAAAGGTTTGCGACAAGGTTAGTTCCAGAGCTAAGGGGAATGTCCTATGAAGAAAGATTAAGGGAAATCGGCCTGACGACACTGGAGGACAGGAGGGTCAGGGGAGACATGATAACGACATATAAAATAGTGCGCGGAATAGACAAGGTGGACAAAGACAGGATGTTCCAGGGAGGGGACACAGAAACAAGAGGCCACACTTGGAAGTTGAAGACACAAATGAGTCAGAGAGATATTAGGAAGTATTTCTTCAGTCATAGAGTTGTAAGGCAGTGGAATAGCCTAGAAAATGACGTAGTGGAGGCAGGAACCATACACAGTTTTAAGACGAGGTTTGATAAAGCTCATGGAGCGGGGAGAGAGAGAGCCCAGTAGCAACCGGTGAAGAGGCGGGGCCAGGAGCTAAGACTCGACCCCTGCAACCACAAATAGGTGAGTACAAATAGGTGAGCGCACACACACACACACACACACACACACACACACACACACACACACACACACACACACACACACACACAGTCCTCTAACATTATCACTCACAGGTGATGTTATACGGTGTTGAGTAAAAAATAAAACAGAGGCAGAGGTCTGATACAATGGCTTTACGAGTTACAAAAGTTGAAAATGGATTTTTTTCATGAGTATATTGCAGAAGTTATAACACCCAGAGGAACCAAGATAATAAAAACAATGTTATATAGCCTTTACTGTCATGTTGGTCAAGACAAAGATAATCAAAGCCATAATAGACATTCTGGAGAAAGTAAGATGTGACAGTCAGGTGTCACAGGGGTTACAACCAGTTGACCTGAGAGAACTGGGAGCCACACTCAGGACAGGAAATATGGAGAGCAGCACTGATGGGCATGCAGTCAAAAACTTCTTGAGTCAGTATCTAAAAGAAACCACAAGATAATAAACTACCACTAGTGATCTGGCCTTCACCTTGCGTGAATCATATATAGCAGAAGTGGACTGTTAACTACTATCTGGAGTGTGACAAAACTAGGCTAAACTTTAAATACCTATGTAAAGTGGGACTAGCTAGAAACAGGGGAAGAAGGGAGGTAGGGAACATCAGGACAGACTAAAGCTTCCGCTTTAAGTACACTGGAACTGACAAACAGATCATACAAAACACAACTGTTATTAATATTAGTTATAAATAAACAGTTATGTATGGTAATGCGTTATATAACGAATTTTATTTGTATGATTATTGTAATCACATACAAGGGTATACATCGTAATAGTGAGGTGCTAGGCTCCATACACCAGGATCCTGGCATTGTGAGGCGCTAGGCTCCATGCACCAGGATCCTGGCATTGTGAGGTGCTAGGCTCCATACACCAGGATCCTGGCATTGTGAGGTGCTAGGCTCCATGCACCAGGATCCTGGCATTGTGAGGTGCTAGGCTCCATGCACCAGGATCCTGGCATTGTGAGGTGCTAGGCTCCATACACCAGGATCCTGGCATTGTGAGGCGCTAGGCTCCATACACCAGGATCCTGGCATTGTGAGGTGCTAGGCTCCATACACCAGGATCCTGGCATTGTGAGGTGCTAGGCTCCATACACCAGGATCCTGGCATTGTGAGGTGCTAGGCTCCATGCACCAGGATCCTGGCATTGTGAGGTGCTAGGCTCCATACACCAGGATCCTGGCATTGTGAGGTGCTAGGCTCCATGCACCAGGATCCTGGCATTGTGAGGTGCTAGGCTCCATGCACCAGGATCCTGGCATTGTGAGGTGCTAGGCTCCATACACCAGGATCCTGGCATTGTGAGGTGCTAGGCTCCATGCACCAGGATCCTGGCATTGTGAGGTGCTAGGCTCCATGCACCAGGATCCTGGCATTGTGAGGTGCTAGGCTCCATGCACCAGGATCCTGGCATTGTGAGGTGCTAGGCTCCATACACCAGGATCCTGGCATTGTGAGGTGCTAGGCTCCATACACCAGGATCCTGGCATTGTGAGGTACTAGGCTCCATGCACCAGGATCCTGCCATTGTGAGGTGCTAGGCTCCATGCACCAGGATCCTGGTATTGTGAGGTGCTAGGCTCCATGCACCAGGATCCTGGCATTGTGAGGTGCTAGGCTCCATGCACCAGGATCCTGGCATTGTGAGGTGCTAGGCTCCATGCACCAGGATCCTGGCATTGTGAGGTGCTAGGCTCCATGCACCAGGATCCTGGCATTGTGAGGTGCTAGGCTCCATGCACCAGGATCCTGGCATTGTGAGGTGCTAGGCTCCATGCACCAGGATCCTGGCATTGTGAGGTGATAGGCTCCATGCACCAGGATCCTGGCATTGTGAGGTGCTAGGCTCCATACACCAGGATCCTGGCATTGTGAGGTACTAGGCTCCATGCACCAGGATCCTGCCATTGTGAGGTGCTAGGCTCCATGCACCAGGATCCTGGTATTGTGAGGTGCTAGGCTCCATGCACCAGGATCCTGGCATTGTGAGGTGCTAGGCTCCATGCACCAGGATCCTGGCATTGTGAGGTGCTAGGCTCCATGCACCAGGATCCTGGCATTGTGAGGTGCTAGGCTCCATGCACCAGGATCCTGGCATTGTGAGGTGCTAGGCTCCATGCACCAGGATCCTGGCATTGTGAGGTGCTAGGCTCCATGCACCAGGATCCTGGCATTGTGAGGTGCTAGGCTCCATACACCAGGATCCTGGCATTGTGAGGTACTAGGCTCCATGCACCAGGATCCTGCCATTGTAAGGTGCTAGGCTCCATGCACCAGGATCCTGGTATTGTGAGGTGCTAGGCTCCATGCACCAGGATCCTGGCATTGTGAGGTGCTAGGCTCCATGCACCAGGATCCTGGCATTGTGAGGTGCTAGGCTCCATGCACCAGGATCCTGGCATTGTGAGGTGCTAGGCTCCATGCACCAGGATCCTGGCATTGTGAGGTGCTAGGCTCCATGCACCAGGATCCTGGCATTGTGAGGTGCTAGGCTCCATGCACCAGGATCCTGGCATTGTGAGGTGCTAGGCTCCATGCACCAGGATCCTGGCATTGTGAGGTGCTAGGCTCCATGCACCAGGATCCTGGCATTGTGAGGTGCTAGGCTCCATACACCAGGATTCTGGCATTGTGAGGTGCTAGGCTCCATACACCAGGATCCTGGCATTGTGAGGTGCTAGGCTCCATACACCAGGATTCTGGCATTGTGAGGTGCTAGGCTCCATACACCAGGATCCTGGCATTGTGAGGTGCTAGGCTCCATACACCAGGATTCTGGCATTGTGAGGTGCTAGGCTCCATACACCAGGATCCTGGCATTGTGAGGTGCTAGGCTCCATGCACCAGGATCCTAGTATTGTGAGGTGCTAGGCTCCATGCACCAGGATCCTGGCATTGTGAGGTGCTAGGCTCCATGCACCAGGATCCTGGCATTGTGAGGTGCTAGGCTCCATGCACCAGGATCCTGGCATTGTGAGGTGCTAGGCTCCATGCACCAGGATCCTGGCATTGTGAGGTGCTAGGCTCCATACACCAGGATCCTGGCATTGTGAGGTACTAGGCTCCATGCACCAGGATCCTGCCATTGTGAGGTGCTAGGCTCCATGCACCAGGATCCTGGTATTGTGAGGTGCTAGGCTCCATGCACCAGGATCCTGGTATTGTGAGGTGCTAGGCTCCATGCACCAGGATCCTGCCATTGTGAGGTGCTAGGCTCCATGCACCAGGATCCTGGCATTGTGAGGTGCTAGGCTCCATGCACCAGGATCCTGGCATTGTGAGGTGCTAGGCTCCATGCACCAGGATCCTGGCATTGTGAGGTACTAGGCTCCATACACCAGGATCCTGGCATTGTGAGGTACTAGGCTCCATGCACCAGGATCCTGCCATTGTGAGGTGCTAGGCTCCATGCACCAGGATCCTGGTATTGTGAGGTGCTAGGCTCCATGCACCAGGATCCTGGTATTGTGAGGTGCTAGGCTCCATGCACCAGGATCCTGCCATTGTGAGGTGCTAGGCTCCATGCACCAGGATCCTGGCATTGTGAGGTGCTAGGCTCCATACACCAGGATCCTGGCATTGTGAGGTGCTAGGCTCCATGCACCAGGATCCTGGTATTGTGAGGTGCTAGGCTCCATACACCAGGATCCTGGCATTGTGAGGTGCTAGGCTCCATGCACCAGGATCCTGGCATTGTGAGGTGCTAGGCTCCATGCACCAGGATCCTGCCATTGTGAGGTGCTAGGCTCCATGCACCAGGATCCTGGTATTGTGAGGTGCTAGGCTCCATGCACCAGGATCCTGGCATTGTGAGGTGCTAGGCTCCATGCACCAGGATCCTGCCATTGTGAGGTGCTAGGCTCCATGCACAAGGATCCTGCCATTGTGAGGTGCTAGGCTCCATGCACCAGGATCCTGGCATTGTGAGGTGCTAGGCTCCATACACCAGGATCCTGGCATTGTGAGGTGCTAGGCTCCATGCACCAGGATCCTGGTATTGTGAGGTGCTAGGCTCCATACACCAGGATCCTGGCATTGTGAGGTGCTAGGCTCCATGCACCAGGATCCTGGTATTGTGAGGTGCTAGGCTCCATGCACCAGGATCCTGGTATTGTGAGGTGCTAGGCTCCATACACCAGGATCCTGGCATTGTGAGGTGCTAGGCTCCATGCACCAGGATCCTGGCATTGTGAGGTGCTAGGCTCCATGCACCAGGATCCTGGCATTGTGAGGTGCTAGGCTCCATGCACCAGGATCCTGGCATTGTGAGGTGCTAGGCTCCATGCACCAGGATCCTGGTATTGTGAGGTGCTAGGCTCCATGCACCAGGATCCTGGTATTGTGAGGTGCTAGGCTCCATACACCAGGATCCTGGCATTGTGAGGTGCTAGGCTCCATGCACCAGGATCCTGGCATTGTGAGGTGCTAGGCTCCATACACCAGGATCCTGGCATTGTGAGGTGCTAGGCTCCATGCACCAGGATCCTGGCATTGTGAGGTGCTAGGCTCCATGCACCAGGATCCTGGCATTGTGAGGTGCTAGGCTCCATGCACCAGGATCCTGGCATTGTGAGGTGCTAGGCTCCATGCACCAGAGAAGTTAAGAGTCAGTTTGTAGAAAGGATAAAGTTTCATAGTGAACTGTTCCATATGAGTCCATCTGGACAATTTCCTTATTTCTATCCTCCTTGTCATGCCATCCATCTTATGTCACTCTTGTCATGACATCTGCGAAGTGTTATTATTAGAGATAATGGATGTGTATGATGCAGGTACCTGAGCAACTTCTGTGGCTGGCAGATGGACCAGAATGAAGAAGCAGCCAAGACAGGAGACGCCTGGGACCACGCACTTATGCTCTCTGGCCTCGACCTGTGGGATGGCAAACCCGACGAGACCACAGTCATAGGTAGTGTGGTGTAGCAGTAGTGTGGTGTAGCAGTAGTGTGGTGTAGCAGTAGTGTGGTGCAGCAGTAGTGTGGTGTAGCAGTATTGTGGTGTAGCAGTAGTGTGGCGTAGCAGTAGTGTGGTGTAGCTGTTGTGTGGTGTAGCAGTAGTGTGGTGTAGCAGTAGTGTAGTGTAGCAGTAGTGTGGCGTAACAGTAGTGTGGTGTAGCAGTAGTGTGGTGCAGCAGTAGTGTGGTGTAGCAGTAGTGTGGTGTAGCAGTAGTGTGGTGCACTAGTAGTGTGGTGCACTAGTAGTGTGGTGCATTAGTAATGTGGTGCACTAACAGTGTGGTGAGACAAACACTAGGTTAATATTGCACTCTTGTGGTAAAAAGAAGAATATGTCAATAAACCAGTGTTTTTCCTGTATAACCAAGGAGTTGACAGGTAACTGTCTAGCTAACACATCTTTCATGTGTCACTGACCTGTCTCTCTCCCTCAGACCTGGTGTGGGTATCAGAGATGTGTCAGACCAGGTATTGACCTGTCTCTCTCCCTCAGACTTGGCATGGGTATCAGGAATGTGTCAGTCCAGGTACTGACCTATCGTTCTCCCTCAGGTCTGGCATGGGTATCAGGAATGTGTCAGTCCAGGTACTCGTGCACCATCAACGAAGGCACTAGCTTCGAAGCAGTCTATGTTATCACCCATGAAATGGGACACAAGTGAGTTTTTTGTTTACTGTGCTGTCTTAGTAACTAGTTTATTGCGTATATTAATTGTGCTGCATGAACGGCTAGTTTAGTGTGCACTCGCAGCTCATCCTGTGAGCGATAGCCCATGAAACATGATTATACAGAGGTCACAATGTATCTTTGCCAGGTCCCACTGGGCATATTGCATTACACATTACTACAAGTTCTTGAAGTGCTTTTCCATATCCTGCAAGGTTTACATGGAGGTGTCTCTGAAAACCTGGGTGGGTGTTTATATAATCTAAGATGTATTGTAGCAACATACGGCCCTGTCTCTGTCCACCCGGTTTGCATTTTATGTCACTGATTTCATACAAACAGTACTGCAAGAGATACTTATAACTTACCCTTAGTCTAGCAGTAACAACAATACTACCAGAGATACTTATAACCTAGCCTTAATCTAGCAGTAGCAACAATACTACCAGAGATACTTAGAACCTAGCAGTAACAACAATACTACCAGAGATACTTATAACCTAGCAGTAACAACAATACTACCAGAGATACTTATAATCCAGCCTTAGTCTAGCAGCAACAACGTCTTGCTATCTACTGACATTGCTACTTTTTCCATAAACATATTTAACCTGATACGTTTCATTATCTTATCTGTATTTTCTACTTTCACTTTGTCAGTTCTTTTCTAAATTTGTTACTGAGGTTGACTACATCTCCGTCACAGCCTGGGTATGTCTCACGACGGGTCACGGGAGGACAGAAACACGTGTGACGGCACAAAATACCTCATGTCACCCTCGACGGGGCCGGGCAAGGTCACCTGGTCTAAATGTTCCAACAAGGAGCTCAAGACCTTCCTGAAGTCGTAAGTTGCTGCTGCTGTGTGTGTGTGTGTGTGTGTGTGTACTCACCAAATTGTACTCACCTAATTGTGGTTGCAGGGGTCGATACTCAGCTCCTGGCCTCGCCTCTTCACTGACCGCTACTGGGTCCTCCCTCTCCCTGCTCCATGAGGTTTATCACACCTCGTCTTAAAACTATGTATGGTTCCTGCCTCCACTACATCGCTTGCCAAACTATTCCACTTCCTAACAACTCTGTAGCTGTATGTGTGTGTGTGTGTGTGTGTAAAACAGCTTCCTGTTTGACGTTACTCCCCCTCTACCCCAGCCTACAACCAGACTGCCTCTCCAACCAGGCCAGGACGGCTCGCAACTTGGAGTTCGACAAAAATCTGCTACCAGGTGAGAGGTACACCAAGGAGGAACAGTGTACCTTTGCTGAGGGATCCGCCTTCAAGCCCTACGTCACCTCTAAAAACCCTTACAACGTGAGTTTTGAACTCTCCACAGAAAACGCAGTTTGAAATTACATTTTTCCATGGGGATATAAAACTTACAATGGTACTTTCAAAGTCCTCCAGTTGACCCCCTTCCCAATACTCCTCAAAACTAGCCCCTGATCAAACCATATCCCTACATGTCTGGATTAGGATCTGACACCTTTCATGACGGAGGATATGAGTAGAGCCTAACACTTTTCTTTCATTATGGAAGATATAAGTTATAATAATCTACGTGTTGACTAATAATCGTAATAAAATTAATATTTTTTATTATTTTAGAATAAGCAGTAAAAAGAAGAATGAATAATTGGCTACGATTGACCTGGTGACAGTGAGAACACCAGCTGCCAGTTCCCCAGTCTGGGCCTGGTGACACTGAGAACACCAGCTGCCAGTTCCCCAGTCTGGGCCTGGTGACACTGAGAACACCAGCTGCCAGTTCCCCAGTCTGGGCCTGGTGACACTGAGAACACCAGCTGCCAGTTCCCCAGTCTGGGCCTGGTGACAATGAGAACACCAGCTGCCAGTTCCCCAGTCTGGGACTGGTGACACTGAGAACACCAGCTGCCAGTTCCCCAGTCTGGGCCTGGTGACAATGAGAACACCAGCTGCCAGTTCCCCAGTCTGGGCCTGGTGACACTGAGAACACCAGCTGCCAGTTCCCCAGTCTGGGCCTGGTGACACTGAGAACACCAGCTGCCAGTTCCCCAGTCTGGGCCTGGTGACAATGAGAACACCAGCTGCCAGTTCCCCAGTCTGGGACTGGTGACACTGAGAACACCAGCTGCCAGTTCCCCAGTCTGGGCCTGGTGACAATGAGAACACCAGCTGCCAGTTCCCCAGTCTGGGCCTGGTGACAATGAGAACACCAGCTGCCAGTTCCCCAGTCTGGGACTGGTGACAGTGAGAACACCAGCTGCCAGTTCCCCAGTCTGGGCCTGGTGACAGTGAGAACACCAGCTGCCAGTTCCCCAGTCTGGGACTGGTGACAGTGAGAACACCAGCTGCCAGTTCCCCAGTCTGGGCCTGGTGACAATTAGAACACCAGCTGCCAGTTTCCCAGTCTGGGACTGGTGACGGTGAGAACACCAGCTGCCAGTTCCCCAGTCTGGGACTGGTGACAGTGAGAACACCAGCTGCCAGTTCCCCAGTCTGGGACTGGTGACAGTGAGAACACCAGCTGCCAGTTCCCCAGTCTGGACCTGGTGACAATGAGAACACCAGCTGCCAGTTCCCCAGTCTGGGACTGGTGACAGTGAGAACACCAGCTGCCAGTTCCCCAGTCTGGGCCTGGTGACACTGAGAACACCAGCTGCCAGTTCCCCAGTCTGGGCCTGGTGACACTGAGAACACCAGCTGCCAGTTCCCCAGTCTGGGCCTGGTGACAATGAGAACACCAGCTGCCAGTTCCCCAGTCTGGGACTGGTGACACTGAGAACACCAGCTGCCAGTTCCCCAGTCTGGGCCTGGTGACAATGAGAACACCAGCTGCCAGTTCCCCAGTCTGGGCCTGGTGACAATGAGAACACCAGCTGCCAGTTCCCCAGTCTGGGACTGGTGACAGTGAGAACACCAGCTGCCAGTTCCCCAGTCTGGGCCTGGTGACAGTGAGAACACCAGCTGCCAGTTCCCCAGTCTGGGACTGGTGACAGTGAGAACACCAGCTGCCAGTTCCCCAGTCTGGGCCTGGTGACAATTAGAACACCACCTGCCAGTTTCCCAGTCTGGGACTGGTGACGGTGAGAACACCAGCTGCCAGTTCCCCAGTCTGGGACTGGTGACAGTGAGAACACCAGCTGCCAGTTCCCCAGTCTGGGACTGGTGACAGTGAGAACACCAGCTGCCAGTTCCCCAGTCTGGACCTGGTGACAATGAGAACACCAGCTGCCAGTTCCCCAGTCTGGGACTGGTGACAGTGAGAACACCAGCTGCCAGTTCCCCAGTCTGGGCCTGGTGACACTGAGAACACCAGCTGCCAGTTCCCCAGTCTGGGCCTGGTGACACTGAGAGCACCAGCTGCCAGTTCCCCAGTCTGGGCCTGGTGACGGTGAGAACACCAGTTACCAGTTTCCCAGTCTGGGCCTGGTGACGGTGAGAACACCAGCTGCCAGTTCCCCAGTCTGGGCCTGGTGACGGTGAGAACACCAGTTACCAGTTTCCCAGTCTGGGCCTGTTGACGGTGAGAACACCAGCTGCCAGTTCCCCAGTCTGGGCCTGGTGACAGTGAGAACACCAGCTGCCAGTTCCCCAGTCTGGGCCTGGTGACAGTGAGAACACCAGCTGCCAGTTCCCCAGTCTGGACCTGGTGACAATGAGAACACCAGCTGCCAGTTCCCCAGTCTGGGCCTGGTGACAGTGAGAACACCAGCTGCCAGTTCCCCAGTCTGGGCCTGGTGACAGTGAGAACACCAGCTGCCAGTTCCCCAGTCTGGGCCTGGTGACGGTGAGAACACCAGCTGCCGGTTCCCCAGTCTGGGCCTGGTGACGGTGAGAACACCAGCTGCCGGTTCCCCAGTCTGGGCCTGGTGACAATGAGAACACAGGAAGACAGGCCTGGTAGATCAACAATGTTTGCTCCGTTGGGTTTTCTCCTTTTTACATTTTAAAAATTCCATCAGTCTGGCCATCTGCTCCAGTATTTATTAATCGAGAACATGAGGTGTGTAGCCAGGTGTATTGTGTTAGAGGTGTGTAACCACGTGTATTATGACCAGGACGTGTGTCGGGAGCTGTGGTGCCAGAATACAACCCATGCCATCCGTACCCACCCGGCATTAGAGGGCACCACCTGTGACCTTAAGAAGGTAAGCAGCGACTTTTTCACTTTAAGTGGCAGGAGTGAGCACCTGAACACTCACACATGGTGTTCCTAAATTGAAAAAAAAGTATAGGATGCCGACAAATTGATGAGTAAGGTATGTTCCATACTGTTGCAAGTGCGTCTTTTGATGGATAATGAACCTGCTGTTTCCTATCTGTACTGTTCTACTTTCTTCAATGTTTGTTAGTTTGTTTTTGACAATGCTCCGTAAGCTTCTTTAAGAAAAAACAAAATTATACTCAACATTCTCGTTATGTAATGCTTGTTTAGCTAATTCATCATCTTTGTCATGCTCCTGGAGGCCTATGTGACAGGGAATCCACAAACGATTAACTGTAATTCTTTTCTTAATTTGTGTATGTATGTGCCTAGCGTCATACACAGGTTACTTAGAACAAGTAATAAGGAAAGAGACAAAACCCGTGCTGGGACTCCACCGGAAATTACATACGAGGAAAGAGAGCCAGTTACAATTAAACTGTGTACGGCGGTAAGTTCCATAAGCTTGAGAGTAACAAGTATCACATACAGCTCAGTTTGTTAGATGGAAGCTCAATTATTAATTCTAATACACCTCTGTATTATAGTACCATCAGACCGGGTTACAATAACAGCACTTTTCACCCTCCCACTGTCAGGGTTAAGAGAGCCTCAGCGTAGATAATCTTTGTGGTAATGTTCTTTGTGCTAAGATCGTCTGTGTTCCACAGCACTGATTGTAGAAAGTAATCGAAGTTGAGGAATGTTCATGATCAGTTTCTTGGGAGGATAAGTGGGCATAGTAATATGAAAGCTGCTATTTGCCTGGGCGGATGGAAATACTAACCACTGATTTCACGTATTCCATCAGTAACACTGGGTACATTTAACTCTTACCTCATATTCAGTATTATGGTATTTATAGCACAGCCCAAAATAATTCTCACAACTTGATTTTGTGTTTTTTCCAAGTTTTTCACTGGTTGTAGTGAGTTGCAGGACTAAAACTGGTGCATAGTAATCTGTCAACGATCTTACAGTATGTATGCTAAGTACATTATTTTTGCAATTCGTGATTCACAGTTCTGTATCAGCGGACAATGTGTACCGAAGCCGGACAAGACGCCTCCAACTTCGGACTCGGGCACCAAGAAGGATCCGTCACCAGCCAGCGGAACTAACACCAATCAAATAGACACCACACCATCCAGTGGCTTTTCTAGCTTATTTAGGAGAATCAGGAATCTCTTCAGCAGGTAAGTTGCTCTCTCTCCCTACCATCTGACTACAAGTTTTTGAGTTGTTCCTCCTAAAGGGTTAGTTCATTGTGCACTCCATGTTCATACTGTGTGAGTCAGCAACAAACACGATACTTGATGAAAGATTTGGTACAAACACATTCTTCAGTCATATTAATCTGTCAGAGTTACCCTTCAAAGTAGGTGTCTTTATGACGGTGAAGAGCTCTTGATCCAACGAATTGGATTTGCTCTTCCACTTCTTAAATCGAACCAGACTGTCTCCCTTTGATATACCTTTGAAGGGTATTGACAGTGTTTCTACTCCCGCAGCCCGGCCCTGGGGATGTATAACCCCTACGGGTTTATGTTTCCCCATAATAATAATAATAATAATAATAATAATAATAATAATAATAATAATAATAATAATAATAATAATAATAATAATAACAATAATAATAATAATTAATATTATTATTATTATTATTATTATTATTATTATTATTATTATTATTATTATTATTATTATATTATTATTATTATTATTATTTTAATATCGGTTGTCTCCCACCGAGGTAGGGAGACCCGAAAAATAAGAGTCACTTTCACATTCACTCCATCTTGGCAGAGGCGTGCCAATATTACACCTTAGATGCCCCTCTAAATTGTAATATCTCGCCCATCCTTCAGAGTGCAGCCACTGTACTTCCCACCTCCAGAACCACAACATCCTCACCCATCCTTCAGAGTGCAGCCACTGTACTTCCCACCTCCAGAACCACAACATCCTCACCCATCCTTCAGAGTGCAGCCACTGTACTTCCCACCTGCAGGACTCAAATCTGGCTAACCAGTTTCATTGAATCTATATAAATAATTATTATTAATGTGTAGGGGTTATACAGTGCCTTGAGAATGGGAGACAATAAGGTTTGATCTGAGGAAGAGGAAGGTTTCTTCGATTCCTTGAATCAAAAGCCCTTCACTAGCACCTGTCTTGAGGAAGGCAACATAAATTTTTGGAACACAAGATGCAGACTCCAGCATTCAGGTATATACTCCGAACTCTCCAACACTCAGGTACTCTCCAAGACTCAGGTACTCTCCAAAACTCAGGTACTCTCCAACACTCACGTATACACTGAGAACTCTCAAACACTCAGGAACTCTTCAAGATTTAGGTACTCTCTAACACTGAGGTACTCTCTAGCACCCAGGCATACACTCATGTACTCTCCAGCACTCAGGTACTCTCCAACACTCAGGTATACACTGAGAACTCTCAAACACTCAGGAACTCTTCAAGATTAAGGTATTCTCTAACACTGAGGTACTCTCTAGCACCCAGGCATGCACTCAGAACTCTCCAACACTCAGGTACTCTCCAGCACTCAGGTACTCTCCAGCACTCGGGTATTCTCCAGCACTCAAATATACACTCAGAACTTTCCAACACTCAGGTACTCTCCAGCACTGAGGTACTCTCCAGCACTCAGGTACTCTCCAACTCTCATAATTGTTAGGTAAGACACATATGCAACAGTTAGACAACTTTATTCCGAAACGTTTCGCCTACACAGAAGGCTTCTTCAGTCGAATACAGAAAGTAGGCAGGAACAGTAGAGATGTGAAGACGATGTAATCAGTCCATCACCCTTGAAGTCGTAGAATTTGAGGTTGTCAGTCCCTCAGCCTGGAGCAGTTCAGTTCCATAGTCAGGAACTATCTGAAGATCAAGCGACAGTGCAGAGACTTAAATACTGTCGGAAGGAGAGGTGCAGAGTAGTAGTAGTAGTGAAAATGTAGCCACTGAGAAGTCATGTCCCTCTCAGATCCAACCCTTTTTCACTTGAAAAGCTTGTCCAAGGTGTTTTCTGTACCAAGATGCCACGTGTTGCAGTGTCTGACAGGATGAACTTCAAAATGGTATACAATACCGACAGGTTGTTAGGTAAGACACATATGCAACAGTTAGACAACTTTATTCCGAAACGTTTCGCCTACACAGTAGGCTTCTTCAGTCGAATACAGATCTGAGAGGGACATGACTTCTCAGTGGCTACATTTTCACTACTACTACTACTACTCTGCACCTCTCCTTCCGACAGTATTTAAGTCTCTGCACTGTCGCTTGATCTTCAGATAGTTCCTGACTATGGAACTGAACTGCTCCAGGCTGAGGGACTGACAACCTCAAATTCTACGACTTCAAGGGTGATGGACTGATTACATCGTCTTCACATCTCTACTGTTCCTGCCTACTTTCTGTATTCGACTGAAGAAGCCTACTGTGTAGGCGAAACGTTTCGGAATAAAGTTGTCTAACTGTTGCATATGTGTCTTACCTAACAACCTGTCGGTATTGTATACCATTTTGAAGTTCAACTCTCATAATTGTCTTAACTTGCAGGTATCTGGCACTCACCGGAGGACTGCCGGAATCTGTGTTTACATCAAGTTGGAAGCTTACTAACGTGTCAGCTTGCTCAGCTGCCTGCGGTGGCGGCTGGCAGAAAAGTGAGATCACCTGCACAGCGTCAGAGGGAACTATATATCTTACTGACGCCATGTGTGACCCACAGTCGCGACCTCCTGTCAAGGCTGCCTGCAATACCGTTCCTTGCATTGCAGGTCACACGCAGCGGAAACAGTCCCCGAATGCATAATGCAGGATCGTTTGTAGATCAGTGATATCACCAAGTCAAGCTCCTGCTTTTTTAAATCATAACTCCTTGCTGTGTAGTGGCTTGTCATGTAGTACATTACCTCAGTTGTCTCATATTTTAAAATAAACTACTACGTGTCATAATGTCTATTGTAAACAGCAGACAGTAAGTAGGAGTATGTGGCACTTTTAGGCTGAGAACATCCCTCCATGGTGGTAATGTAACCATGGCACTGGTGCTGAGAACATCCCTCCATGGTGATAATGTAACCATGACACTGGTGCTGAGAACATCCCTCCATGGTGGTAATGTAACCATGACACTGGTGCTGAGAACATCCTTCCATGGTGATAATGTAACCATGACACTGGTGCTGAGAACATCCCTCCATGGTGATAATGTAACCATGACACTGGTGCTGAGAACATCCCTCCATGGTGGTAATATAACCATGACACTGGTGCTGAGAACATCCCTCCATGGTGTTAATGTAACCATGACACTGGTGCTGAGAACATCCCTCCATGGTGGTAATATAACCATGACACTGGTGCTGAGAACATCCCTCCATGGTGATAATGTAACCATGACACTGGTGCTGAGAACATCCCTCCATGGTGATAATGTAACCATGACACTGGTGCTGAGAACATCCCTCCATGGTGATAATGTAACCATGATACTGGTGCTGAGGACATCCCTCCATGGTAGTAATGTAATCATGACACTGGTGCTGAGAACATCCCTCCATGGTGATAATGTAATCATGATACTAGTGCTGAGAACATCCCTCCATGGTAGTAATGTAATCATGACACTGGTGCTGAGGACATCCCTCCATGGTGATAATGTAACCATGATACTGGTGCTGAGAACATCTCTCCATGGTGATAATGTAACCATGACACTGGTGCTGAGAACATCCCTCCGTGGTAGTAATGTAATCATGACACTGGTGCTGAAGACATCCCTCCATGGTGATAATGTAACCATGATACTGGTGCTGAGAACATCCCTCCATGGTAGTAATGTAATCATGACACTGGTACTGAGGACATCCCTCCATGGTGATAATGTAACCATGACACTGGTGCTGAGAACATCCCTCCATGGTAGTAATGTAATCATGACACTGGTGCTGAGGACATCCCTCCATGGAAAGTCAACTAACACTCAGATGTGTACTGTCAGGTGAAGTGAACCAGCAGGTGTGAGATCTGCCCATAAATAAGTTTATTTAGGTACAGGTACACCTTTAAGTACAACTGTCATACACAGTGAAAATTACCCAAAATAATCCTGTGAGAAAATTAAACTCGTTTGTTTTTGGTTGTGCGTTGACTACTCTGATCATTGTTTACTCATATATTTGTGAATAAAGTTGTGTCTTCTATTACAAACAAATTTGATTAATTAAGGTAACATTTTCTTTATTTATCAGAAGACAAGTCACAATATTTTTGACAAATTATCTGTGATAAAACTATTAAAACTGTTCTGGCAATGCTGTTTTATTGAATCACTTTTTACTCGCCTGGTTGTGCTTGCATGAGTCGATTCATAGCTCCTGGCCCCATCTATTAACTCTTATTGAGTTGTTTCTGGCTGAATCTGTTGCGTCAGCAGGGCTGGGACTGCTCTTATGGTTCGTTACCTTTGTACCTTGTTCAGCTATCAAAACTTTGGGGTCCAGTCCCTGGACCCATTATGTACCTCTATAATGTTTGGACTACCATTAACAGGATGGGTATGGGGTGCATAATAAACATATTGAAATAACTAAACTAAATTCTACACTGTCTTAAGCACGTCAATTCCCCTGTCTTCTAATATTGTGTTATTTTTCCCCTATGATCTACCTTGTCCATAATTACTATCGCATTTACTTTGTCTGCTTTCGTAAGGTGAAGTCCAGGATCGTTCCTTAATTCATGGTATAACTTAACACATGTTTGAGGACAATTGTGTTGCAGAGGTGTGAGCAAAAATCAGACATGCAACACGGAGGATCTCACCTTCAAGGACCATAACATTGTATCAATCGCATCTGCTAGAAAAATGACAGGATGGATAATGAGAACCTTCAAAACTAGGGAGGCCAAGCCCATGATGACACTCTTCAGGTCACTTGTTCTATCTAGGCTGGAATATTGCTGCACACTAACAACACCTTTCAAGGCAGGTGAAATTGCCGACCTAGAAAATGTACAGAGAACTTTCACGGCGCGCATAACGGAGATAAAACACCTCAATTATTGGGAGCGCTTGAGGTTCCTAAACCTGTATTCCCTGGAACGCAGGAGGGAGAGATACATGATTATATACACCTGGAAAATCCTAGAGGGACTAGTACCGAACTTGCACACGAAAATCACCCACTACGAAAGCAAAAGACTTGGCAGACGATGCACCATCCCCCCAATGAAAAGCAGGGGTGTCACTAGCACGTTAAGAGACCATACAATAAGTGTCAGGGGCCCGAGACTGTTCAACTGCCTCCCAGCACACATAAGGGGGATTACCAACAGACCCCTGGCAGTCTTCAAGCTGGCACTGGACAAGCACCTAAAGTCAGTTCCGGATCAGCCGGGCTGTGGCTCGTATGTTGGTTTGCGTGCAGCCAGCAGCAACAGCCTGGTTGATCAGGCTCTGATCCACCAGGAGGCCTGGTCTCAGACCGGGCCGCGGGGGCGTTGACCCCCGGAACTCTCTCCAGGAACTCTCTCCAGGTAAACAATTGTCCTCAAGTATTTGTTAAGTTATACCATCACACCAACACTGGACGTCATGCAGGTCTTGTGCTTGACAAAGCAACGCATTTCGGGCAATTGGGTGTCCCTTAGCTCGATGGCAGCGCACTCAGCTCACACACTCATGTCCGGAGCTCGAGTCTCTGGTACGGCTGGAAAACGTTAGGGACATGTTTTCACAAGACACTTGCTGTCCATGTTCACTTATCAGTATAAAATGGGTACCTGGGTGTTAGTAGACTGGTGTGGGTCGCATCCTGGGACATAAACTGATCTAATTTATCCGAAATGCTCTGAATAACAAGCGGCTTTCTATAGAGTAGTATGTCATTTATGTCATCTATGCCTGTATACCTTGTACATGTACTTCTAGAAATAGATATTATTTTTATTATTACATCACAGGTCTGAGCTTTGTTCAGACCTGTGATGTAGGGACGTCTGGCTCTGGCTTGAGCATCGGTAATCAACATTATCTGTTCTCTCTGGGACACTTGTCCTCATCTTTTTGTGGCCGCTGGGCGTGTTACAGGAGGGCACCATACATCAGCTTCATTTTACCACGGGATATTTAGCAGTTGCTAACCTAGAAAATGTACAGAGAACCTTCACGGCGCGCATAACGGAGATAAAACACCTCAATTACTGGGAGCGCTTGAGGTTCCTAAACCTGTATTCCCTGGAACGCAGGCGGGAGAGATACAAGATTATATACACCTGGAAAATCCTAGAGGGAGTAGTACCGAACTTGCACACGAAAATCACTCACTACGAAAGCAAAATACTTGGCAGATGATGCAACATCCCCCCAATGAAAAGCAGGGGTGTCACTAGCACGTTAAGAGACCATACAATAAGTGTCAGGGGCCCGAGACTGTTCAACTGCCTCCCAGCATACATAAGGGGGATTACCAACAGACCCCTGGCAGTCTTCAAGCTGACACTGGACAAGCACCTAAAGTCGGTTCCTGACCAGCCGGGCTGTGGCTCGTATGTTGGTTTGCGTGCAGCCAGCAGCAACAGCCTGGTTGATCAGGCTCTGATCCACCAGGAAGCCTGGTCACAGACCGGGCCGCGGAGGAGTTGACCCCCGGAACTCTCTCCAGGTAAACTCCAGTTTTGGAAGACACTGAGCTCAGGTAGAGGAGTCTTCCAGACCATGGAGCTGGACTCTTCTCCAGACTGAGGGACTCACCACCTTGTTCTAGACCATGGAGATGGACTCTTCTCCAGGCTGAGGGACTGACCATCTTGTTCCAGACCTTGGAGATGGACTCTTCTTCAGGCTGAGGGACTGGCTACCTTGTTCCAGACCATGGAGATGGACTCTTCTCCAGGCTGAGGGACTGACCATCTTGTTCCAGACTATGGAGATGGACTCTTCTCCAGGCTGAGGGACTGACCATCTTGTTCCAGACCATGGAGATGGACTCTTCTCCAGGCTGAGGGACTAACCATCTTGTTCCAGACCATGGAGATGGACTCTTCTCCAGACTGAGGGACTGACCATCTTGTTCTAGACCATGGAGATGGACTCTTCTCCAGGCTGAGGGACTAACCATCTTGTTCCAGACCATGGAGATGGACTCTTCTCCAGGCTGAGGGACTAACCATCTTGTTCCAGACCATGGAGATGGACTCTTCTCCAGACTGAGGGACTGACCATCTTGTTCTAGACCATGGAGATGGACTCTTCTCCAGGCTGAGGGACTGACCATCTTGCTCCAGACCATGGAGATGGACTCTTCTCCAGGCTGAGGGACTGACCATCTTGTTCCAGACCATGGAGATGGACTCTTCTCCAGACTGAGGGACTGACCATCTTGTTCTAGACCATTGAGATGGACTCTTCTCCAGGCTGAGGGACTGACCATCTTCTTCCAGACCATGGAGATGGACTCTTCTCCAGACTGAGGGACTGACCATCTTGTTCTAGGCCATGGAGATGGACTCTTCTCCAGGCTGAGGGACTGACCATCTTCTTCCAGACCATGGAGATGGACTCTTCTCCAGACTGAGGGACTGACCATCTTGTTCTAGACCATTGAGATGGACTCTTCTCCAGACTGAGGGACTGACCATCTTGTTCTAGACCATGGAGATGGACTCTTCTCCAGGCTGAGGGACTGACCATCTTGTTCCAGACCATGGAGATGGACCCTTCTCCAGACTGAGGGACTGACCATCTTGTTCTAGACCATGGAGATAGACTCTTCTCCAGGCTGAGGGATTCAGCACCTCAAATACTATTTTTCCAAGGTTGATAGACTGATACATCATCTTCATTTTACTACCAAACGTTTCGCTTACTGTGTAGGCGAAACATTTCAAAAATATATTCCTAACTGTTGCACATGTGTCTTAATCATCAGGTATAGGTATGACCTCCAGCTTAGACCTACCAGGGAAATTTTATTTTATCTTTCTATTTACATAGGAACTCATGTTTCCTTTTCTTTCGCTACCCATCACTGGGTAATATTTCTTCAATACGGTTTGAAAATTAGAATGAAATATATTATGTGATGGGGAAGCAGTGTTGGGCAGAGTGCCCACTGTCACTGCCCATTACATGCCCAGGAAGAAGTTAGTCTTGGAAAAAGACAGAATATAGTTAATAATGGGCTTCACACCAACACTGGAAGTCATGCAGGTCTGGTGCATGACACACCAACACTGGACGTCATGCAGGTCTGGTGCATGACACACCAACACTGGAAGTCATGCAGGTCTGGTGCATGACACACCAACACTGGACGTCATGCAGGTCTGGTGCATGACACACCAACACTGGAAGTCATGCAGGTCTGGTGCATGACACACCAACACTGGACGTCATGCAGGTCTGGTGCATGACACACCAACACTGGAAGTCATGCAGGTCTGGTGCATGACACACCAACACTGGACGTCATGCAGGTCTGGTGCATGACACACCAACGTTCAGGTAAGTCTTGACACAGTTAAATAGTATTTATGTGAAGATGATGGTTGAAGAGGTGGTGATGGTAGTTAGTGTTGTTGCTCACAGGATCAGTTATTGCTCATGAGCAATAACTCAAAACAACTGGATTATAAAGTTTAAATTGATTCATTTTTATACCTCAGTTTCGTCTTTAAAACTATCATGGTATTGTCGTTTAATATTCTCTATTACAGTTTTTTTTTCCCAGTGTTAATCTACCGAATATATTATTCATATACAATTTCAAGAAATTTCATGTATCTTTCCATTAGTCATTATGTTGTAAAAATCTCATTATAAGAACATAAGAATGGAGGAACACTGCAGAAGGCCTACTGGCCCATGTGAGGCAGGTCCTTATGTTGTTAGGTAAGACACATATGCAACAGTCCTTATCAAAACGACCTCTACCTTAAGCTACCCAAGAAATAACTCCCGTACCCAATGACACCAATCAAACCCAGCCCCTCCCACTCTTATATTTGTCCAGTCTCTTCTTAAAGCTACCCAAGGTCCTAGCCTCTATCACCCTACTGGGAAGAATGTTCCACACATCTACAACTTAGAAAACCAGTACTTACCTATGTCCTTTCTAAATCTAAATTTATCCAACTTAAATCCATTATTTCTGGTTCTTACCTGGTTTGACACCCTCAGTACTTTATTAATATCTCCCTTGTTAAGAAAAAGGGAGCTAGCAGTTCATTCATTAGTGACATGCAAATGTGGATAGTCTCAAAATTTCAAAAATCTTATTATAAAATTTGTACCTGGGTGTTTAGTGGACTGGTGTAGGTCGCATCCTGGGACAAAATTGACCCAATTTGCCTTAAATGCTCAACATAACAAGGGGCTTTCTGTGTAGTTGTACATCATTGATGTCAGCCATGGCCTGTATACCATGTACATTGAACATTAAAATGGTATAAAATACCAACAGGTTGTTAGGTAAGACACATATGCAACAGTTAGGTATCTTTACTTCGAAACGTTTCGCCTACACAGTAGGCTTCTTCAGTCGAGTACAGAAAAGTTGATAGAAGCAGAGAGACTTGAAGACGATGTAATCAGTCCATCACCCTTAAAGTTTTGAGGTGGTCAGTCCCTCAGTCTGGAGAAGAGCATTGTTCCATAGTCTGAAACAATATGGAGTTGAAGTGACAGGATGGAGCCTTATATAGCGCCAGGAGGTGAGACGTAGGTCAATATTAGAGGTAAGAACGCAGATGTTGGGAGGTTTCGAAATAAAGATACCTAACTGTTGCATATGTGTCTTACCTAACATACCATGTACATGTAGAGATATATGTATTATTATTATTATTATTATTATTATTATTATTATTATTATTATACAGTATGTACTAACAATGAGGTGTTTTGCTATGTCTTGCAAGGTGTGCATGGATGTGTTTCAGGAAGGTTAAATGTTTGGACACTGAGATACAATGCTCCAGTATATGGCCTTGTCTCTGTCCATACACTTTGCATTATATGTTATTGACATCTCTACAACAATTTAAAGAGTGTCATCAGCTAGGGATGCCAAGCCCATGATGACACTCTTCAAATTGCTTGTTCTCTTTAGGCTGGAATACTGCTGTACACTAACGGCGCCTTCAAGGCTGGCGACATTGCAGACCTGGAGAACGTACAAAGAACTTTCACGGCACATATAAGCACGATAAGGCACCTAAATTACTGGGAACGGTTGAAGGTCCTTGATCTGTGTTCCCTGGAATGCAGGCGAGAGAGATACAAGATAATATACACTTGGAAGGTCCTGGAAAGATTGGTGCCAAACCTGCACACGAAAATCACTCCCTATGAAAGCAAAAGATTTGGCAGGAGATGCAACATTCCCCCCGATGAAAAGCAGGGGTACCACGAGTATCTAGAGACAATACAATAAGTGTCTGTGGCCCAAGACTGTTCAGCTGCCTCCCAGCATACATAAGGGGAATTACCAATAGACCTCTGGCTGTCTTGAAGAAGGCACTGGACAGGAACCTAAAGTCAGTACCTGACCAACCAGGCTATGGTTTGTATGTCAGTTTGCATGTGGCCAGCAGTAACAGCCTGGTTATCAGACCCTGATCCACCACAAGGCCTGGTCTCAGACCGAGCTGCGGGGGCGTTGACTCCCAAAACCCTCTCTAGGTAAACTCCAGGTAAATGCAAACCATACTGCCAGAGATACTTATAGTCCCCAATGGAAATAAGTCACTTTGACTTTTTTTTGGGGTTATCCTAGGTAATCTACACATATGCTGCTATGTATGATAATTTATGTAACTATTCATGTGTACCTGTACATGAATAAACTTACATATAGTCCAGCTTTAGTCTAGCAATAACATCATCATGTAATCTACTGACCTTGTTACTTTCCCATAAATATACTTAGCTTCTCACATTTTATTATGATAGACAATTAATCTGCTAGCTCTTATCTGTACTCTTCTTTCTTCAAACTCATTTGCTAGTTCTTTTCTGACAATTTTGTTTTTAAACTTCTATTTGAGACATGAAAATTATATTCGACAATCTAATTATTTAATGCTTGTGGCCAGGTAGGCAATGCTCTCGCCTCATGCAGTGTCCACGGTTTGATCCCCGGCCAGGTGGAAACATTGGGCGTGTTTCCTGATACCTGCTGTCACTGTTCACTTAACAAGCAAGTAGGTACCTGGGTGTTAGCTGACCCCAGTGGAAATAAGACACAGTTCTCAATGACACTGACTTTTTTGGGTTATCCTGGGTTGCTAACCCTCCATCATAAAAAAACGAACAAAATTTTGTCTAACTTTGTCATACTTCAGTAGGCCTATGGAAGAAGGAATCCACAAAAAATAACTAATTCCTTTCATAACAGTTTGTGTATATTTGTGCCTATCATCATACACATGCATACTACATTTAGGTCTTAGGCTATTTAGTGCAAATAATGAGGAGAGGAAGTCCCACTAAGATCAATGAGTGAGAATCAAGTAACATGTAGTGGTGGTGATATTACACAGCTGTGGGAACTTGACAGTTAGTCATGGGTGTATATCCAGTGAATATACATATAGTATGTTGAAGAGGAATATACCATTGTGAGAAAGACTATTGGTGCTACTAATATTGCAGTTGAAGCACCTTAAGCAGAAAAGAGCATTGGATAACAGTACACCCCAGAAAAAGTTGAGACTAGTACACGATTTTCTAAAAACGTTAAACAGTTTCCTATTATACGAGACATCACTTTACCAGTAAACACCAAGCAAAATATTTTTAAAAATCTTCAAAAATATTTTTACCACTAAACAAAAGTTTTTGGTAGGAAAATTCTCAGTATTCAATACATACATATATTTGTATTTTACTGGAGATTAGATAAGATTTTGTTTGGGTTTTTAACCTGGAGGGTTAGCCACCAGGATAACCCAAGAAAGTCATTGTGTCATTGAGAACTGTCTTATTATGGAAATAAGACTGTCTGTATTCCATGGGGAAGTGGAACAGAATTCTTCCTCTGTAAGCCATGCGTGTCATAAGAGGTGACTAAAATGCCGGGAACAAGGGGCTAGTAACCCCTTCTCCTGTATATATTACTAAATGTGAAAGGAGAAACTTTTGTTTTTCCTTTTGGGCTACCCCGCCTCTGTGGGATACAGCCGGTGTGTTGAAAGAAGGCTGTCTGTCTTATTTCCATTGCGGTCTTTCAGTCTTGTCTTCTAGGATGCAACCCACACCAGTTGGCTAACACCCGGGTACCAACTTACTTGCTAGTTGAACGGGGACTGCAGATGTAAGGAAACATGCCCAGTGTTTTCACCTGGTCAGGGATCAAATCACGGGCACTCAGTATGTGAGGCGAGAACATTTTGTATCAGGTCACGGGCAGTCTCGGAAGTCTCAGTGCTTCACTATCAAGAATTATTGTTTTACTTCTGATTCCTTTAAACACAATATTGTGAAGGTATACTCTTTCCTGAAAGATTTACCACCTAGCATTCATGAATGTCATCACAAACTGACAGAGATTTACTAAAGACACTTGTGTACAGTTCATGACATGTATTAATGGCAATAGCTTGCAATGAGTGGCTTCTTCACTAATGAGACAGAGTAACCTATAAAAAAAAAAGTCTTGTACATATATAACAAGGGCAGGTTGCAATCAGTTAATATTACATGATGGCTGATTTTAATGAGGGTAACAACCTTTTGGTTAAGAGTTTGGAAATCCTGTAGCTTATGGATTTTTATGAAATTGTGTTGGTGGTAGCAGTTTTGGCAGCTTCCATGCACTTCACCTTCATTGGTTGCTTTCATAAATCACTAATTGGCCCTCATTCTGGTTCATCAGTTCTCCACAATTGTTCTTGTGGTAAACAGATGTTCATTGTGAATGCAAGTATGCTATGTTCATGAGATTTTAATTTTCACTGATGAAGTAGTTTCCCCTACTAATTATTGTCTCCCACATTGTATAATGTACATTCCTATGGTAGTACCAGAGTCACTCCTGTGTTTCTGTGTCCTCACTGTAATGTTTAAAGCTCATGTCTTACACCTCTATAAAAGGGGTCAGCACCACAATATTTTGGTACAGTATCTTCTTTTTGCCTCCATAGATAAACTTTTCTCTCCACAGATGCCTCAACACTCCACCTATCTTTGAATCTTCATCTATTCTGTGGTTCACCTAGTCTTTCACAGACCCATCTGCCAACACATCTGCTACATATATTTAAATATGTACATTCACTTCCTCCATATGCTCTTTTTCCAGTCTGATATCCAATTTTTCATTGCCTAATTTTTTTTAGTTATTCTCATCACCTTGCTCATTTCTGTGTTCACTTTTTACTTCCATCTTTTATGCACCCTTGCAGACTCGCTCACCAGCCTTAGCAACATCTCTTCAGAATCTCCACAAGAACTGTATCATCTATGTGCTGCCTCATGCACTTTTTCCATATTTACTTTGGCTCTTCTTTACTATGAGATATTATTATTGAAAGCTTCTAGATTTTACCTTACCTTTGATGGATTTTGAGAGTTTTCCTACTCCAGGCTCTAGGGCAGTCTTGTTTGCTACTTGCCTGGTCAGCCAGACTTGTTAACATATAATTTAATCATACAGCAATTGGATATATACTTCACTATAGTATTCACAAATTCTTTTATTTTTCAGTAATCTTTTTACGTATCTACACTAAGTCCAAGGGTATAGCTTGGGGAGACAGTTTTTGGATGAAAGATTGACTCTTGAGGTGGGTTATACTGTATATCGAACTCTTAATCTATTTAAAACAGAGCCAGTCCTAACTCTCCATCACTGACTTTCCTAACAAGACATTGGAACTATCTTTCACCACATACATCTAGGTATATTACTCAGGTACTGTTAAATATGATGGCTAAGATTTCAGAGAAACTATACTGTTGTCCACATTAATCATGATTGAGCAAGACTATTATATTGAAACACAGATCAATCTCACCTGCAATATACATCATTTCAGCATTGTATTTTTATGATTGTAGTTTGAAATTTTCTTAACATTAACTCTCTATTTATTTGTTTTCACAAAATAGCCACTAAGAATAAATATTTTTCACAATAAATGTGGCTATAACTCAGTCGTAAACAATATAGTTTTTGCAACACATAAACTGTAGTCAATTTCTATAACTTGCATTGACTGCAGTAATTTCAAATGTTATATTATTTCAAACTATTAAAATTCATTCTAAGACCACCAACTGTTTGTAAATGTTTACACTTAATGCTCACTCTACAGTAGATCATTATCTTGCTTGAGCTACATTGCTAATTTTTGGACTGATTATGATATGCAGTACCCCAGTGTGCATGAGTCCGAGAATATGCACTGTTATTTGTATAATTACTATTTGTATCAATAAATTCCCGTACCATTTGTGCAGGATCACGAATATCCCACATTTCACTGATATCACGTAAATTATGTGCATTTCGCATGTCTCTTATTTCATGACCCTTATCTTTCGTGTCTTTTGTGTCAAGTTTATTATCAATACAGGGAGGGTCATGGGGTATGTCTCGTTGCTGATGATCTGAGTGCCGATAGTGATCCTTTCTCATATCGCTTGTTTCCCGTATTTCTAGGTCTCCTGGCTCTCTCTTCTCAACACTATCGTTTGTATTAGATACACTTGGAGACTGTTCCTCAAACTGAGAAATTTGCCTTTGAATCTCAAGGCGTTTACGATCACCAACAACACGAGTGTGAGGTCGTCCATTATAAACACTGCCTTCAGAACTATTCAGTGTTGAATTCCGAGAAGCATGAGAAAGTCTGTTCCCTAACGACTGATGAGAGTTTGATATTAAAGCTCCTGTAAAGTTACCCTGATTTGGATTAACTATATTTGAAGTTATTGTTGGACAAGAACCACAGAAGTTAACATTGATGGATATTGGGTGCAAAACAGGTGATATATTTGACAATCCTGCAATGGCAGGAGCAATAAGAGTACTATCAATGGTTAAAGGTACATAAAAACTTCCACTCTGGTTAAGAGCAAAAATTGGTACAGTTACCCTAGAACAAACATTGACACTTTGTCTGCAGGGTGAACTTCTACCACCTTGATTTTCACATTTTGATGTAGGTGTTAAAGATCTTTGATTTTTATCAAGCATCGGACTGTCACACTCATCTAGTAACTTATTCAAGTCGTGAGAAAATCCCTCATGGCATGAGGTTGGTCGTGAGAGACTCACAGAGCCTGTGGGAGTCACTCTGTCTTTTTCACAGTCAGTATAATTTCCACAAGAAGATTCAGAGTCTCTTCGCTTCTTTCTGACCTGGTGCGACTGCTCCAGGTCAGCACTGAACCTATGCTTCATATTTGATTTGAACTTGTATAGTCGACTACTGTTATTGTTGTCATCCCCACTCGAGGAATTATTAGAGCTTAGTCCAGAAGAATAGCTTCCACATCTACGGTCACTGCTGCTTCCAGGTCCTGAATGTTGCTGCAGGATCTCTCGAAGCTGACTTCCCATTCCAGAGCTGTTTTCCAGGGCTGTTCCTCCAGATTTTTCTTCTCGCTCGTTCGAGCCAAGACGGTCTTCAGACCTATAAGCCGATTCTTCTGTGGAAAAAATAATAATTTAAATTAAACATGGTATTTATATACATAACTGTATTGAAGAATGTACAAGTACACTCTTCAATGCATATTTTTTTTGTACAGTGAGTTGTATAAAAACATTTTGTTTATTTTAGTAGATAACACTAAATTTTCAGTAAAACAAGTAACTGGAAAAGCCAGGATTCCTTTTCAAATTACTGGCACCCAGGGAAAGCTAAGTTATCAGAGTGAGCCATGTGGCTCAGAGAGGAAGTACGTGCTTGTCCAACATAGCTATGGTCTTGCCTGCAGAAACAGCATCATCACCAGCTGCTTATTAAGCAGAGTTAACTGAATAATATAGCCTTAATGCTTATAACCAAGAGATATGAATATAAATATTGCTATTATAATAATGAGGACATATTGCAAATTGCTTGAAAATAATGAATATACATTATGTTGGTTTATTGAGCAGTAAAAATTATTTGATACTGTTCATCATAATATCCTTCTCCTCTGTGGTGATAGTGAGTCAATGACAAGACTACTGAATGATATTTTGCCAATTTAGAGCATTATATGCTCAGAAGTCATACATTCTTCTTGATACAATACCTCAACATCAGTGATTAACATATGACCGTATGTGACATTTGCTAGTTAACACACTGAAAAATCAAAAGACAGTGTGAGTCATCTATTATTCCTACTTAATGTATTAATAACTTACTAACTGCATCTCAGGAACCAGTGCTTTGTGCAGACAATACTACACTTATCATCTCAGCCTCAGATAAACTAATACTGTAATATATTGAAGTGAATATGAACCAACAACCTAATACTAACCAAAGAAATACAGTGGACCCCCGGTATTTGATGGCATCGGTATCCGATAAATCCGGTATTCGATACATTTTAACGCAAAAATTTTGCCTCGCCACTCGTTAAAAAACCCGCCACACACGATTCATCTGAGACGTGTCCACGTGTGGTCTGAACTGCCCCGTGTGTGCCAGTGTTTACAAGCCAGCAAGCGTGCTCGCATCTAAGCATACATTCGGTACATTCCATATTATCACAGTGTTTTTGGTGCTTGTTTCTGCAAAATAGGTCACCATGGGCCCCAAGAAAGCTTCTAGTGCCAACCCTGTGGTAAAAAGGGTGAGAATTAGTATGGAAATTAAAAAAGATTTTGAAGGGTTTGGGGCTAACCCTGAGAAGCCTATGCCAGTTGTGGAATCCATTGTGCCTACATCAAAAATTAAGGAAATGTGTGCAAAGTGGGTTGAACTGCAAACCTTTATGGATGAAAATCACCCTAACACAGCTATTGCAAGCCGTGCTGGTAACTATTACAATGACAATGTTGTGGCCCATTTTAGACAAATCGTAAAGAAATGGGAGGTACAGAGCTCTATGGACAGATTTGTTGTGCGACAGAGGTCCAGTGACTCTCAAGCTGGTCATAGTGGCATTAAAAGAAGAAGGGAAGTAAGTAAGTAAGTTTATTCAGGTATACACAAATACAGTTACAGAGAATTATCGTACATAGCAGCATATGTGTAGAGAACCTAGGATAACCCAAAAAAGTCAGACAGAGTGACTTATTTCCATTGGGGTCCCAGAAAAGGACTTGCTACCTCAAGTCCTAATGGAAGGGGATTCCCCTTCTAAACAATAAGTTCGACACTCTCCCCTCCTCCCATCCCATCAATCATCACCAGATCTTCATTAAAGGTAAGTGTCATGTATTCTATTGTTAGTAGAGTACTACAAACTGTGCATGTCTTCTTCAGTTTGTGTGCATTAAACTTAATATTTCATGTGGTAAATTTTTTTTTTTCATACTTTTGGGTGTCTTGCACGGATTAATTTGGTTTCCATTATTTCTTATGGGGAAAATTAATTCGCCTTTTGATAATTTTGGCATATGATGAGCTCTCAGGAACGGATTAATATCATATCCCGGGGGACCACTGTACCTTCTACACAATAAAGCATTTAGAAACAAAATGACTAACCACATAAGTACCAAGGTAAAAAAATAAAAATAAATGACACGTAGAAAGACTGCAGGTAAATTTTTTACCCAACATCTCGAAAGCTGGGTAAATATAATTGAACATGCACATCCAGCATGACATGTACATGTATATGCTGCAAAAACCAATGACCAGTCTTGCAAATGTTGGTAACATGTACCCCAACCATACTAATGTACTATACACAGGCATCTACCCACAGTTTAAATTGTACATGCTTGGAGATGTACAGCAGGAGACTGTCTAGTTTTGTTGTATTATTCATATTCATCAAGAAAAAATAATAAAAGCAAGACATGTAGGTTAAATTGTATACTTAAGATAAAATTAATGATATCTTTCAATATTTTTTTTTTTTTTTTTTTTAATCACACTGGCCGATTCCCACCAAGGCAGGGTGCCCCGAAAAAGAAAAACTTTCACCATCATTCACTCCATCACTGTCTTGCCAGAAGGGTGCTTTACACTACAGTTTTTAAACTGCAACATTAACACCCCCTCCTTCAGAGTGCAGGCACTGTACTTCCCATCTCCAGGACTCAAGTCCGGCCTGCCGGTTTCCCTGAACCCCTTCATAAATGTTACTTTGCTCACACTCCAACAGCACGTCAAGTATTAAAAACCATTTGTCTCCATTCACTCCTATCAAACACGCTCACGCATGCCTGCTGGAAGTCCAAGCCCCTCGCACACAAAACCTCCTTTACCCCTCCCTCCAACCTTTCCTAGGCCGACCCCTACCCCGCCTTCCTTCCACTACAGACTGATACACTCTTGAAGTCATTCTGTTTCGCTCCATTCTCTCTACATGTCCGAACCACCTCAACAACCCTTCCTCAGCCCTCTGGACAACAGTTTTGGTAATCCCGCACCTCCTCCTAACTTCCAAACTACGAATTCTCTGCATTATATTCACACACCACACATTGCCCTCAGACATGACATCTCCACTGCCTCCAGCCTTCTCCTCGCTGCAACATTCATCACCCATGCTTCACACCCATATAAGAGCGTTGGTAAAACTATACTCTCATACATTCTCCTCTTTGCCTCCAAGGACAAAGTTCTTTGTCTCCACAGACTCCTAAGTGCACCACTCGCCCTTTTCCCCTCATCAATTCTATGATTCACCTCATCTTTCATAGACCCATCCGCTGACACGTCCACTCCCAAATATCTGAATACATTTACCTCCTCCATACTCTCTCCCTCCAATCTGATATCCAATCTTTCATCACCTAATCTTTTTGTTATCCTCATAACCTTACTCTTTCCTGTATTCATTTTTAATTTTCTTCTTTTGCATACCCTACCAAATTCATCCACCAATCTCTGCAACTTCTCTTCAGAATCTCCCAAGAGCACAGTGTCATCAGCAAAGAGAAACTGTGACAACTCCCACTTTATGTGTGATTCTTTATCTTTTAACTCCACGCCTCTTGCCAAGACCCTCGCATTTACTTCTCTTACAGCCCCATCTATAAATATATTAAACAACCACGGTGACATCACACATCCTTGTCTAAGGCCTACTTTTACCGGGAAATAATTTCCCTCTTTCCTACTTTACTCTAACTTGAGCCTCACTATCCTCGTAAAAACTCTTCACTGCTTTCAGTAACCTACCTCCTATACCATACACCTGCAACATCTGCCACATTGCCCCCCTATCCACCCTGTCATACGCCTTTTCCAAATCCATAAATGCCACAAAGACCTCTTTAGCCTTATCTAAATACTGTTCACTTATATGTTTCACTGTAAACACCTGGTCCACACACCCCCTACCTTTCCTAAGCCTCCTTGTTCATCTGCTATCCTATTCTCTGTCTTACTCTTAATTCTTTCAATAATAACTCTACCATACACTTTACCAGGTATAACTAACAGACTTATCCCCCTATAATTTTTGCACTCTCTTTTGTCCCCTTTGCCTTTATACAAAGGAACTATGCATGCTCTCTGCCAATCCCTAGGTATCTTACCCTCTTCCATACATTTATTAAATAATTGCACCAACCACTCCAAAACTATATCCCCACCTGCTTTTAACATTTCTATCTTATCCCATCAATCCCGGCTGCCTTACCCCCTTTCATTTTACCTACTGCCTCACGAACTTCCCCCACACTCACAACTGGCTCTTCCTCACTCCTACACACAAATCACAGCTTCCCTATCTTCATCAACATTTAACAATTCCTCAAAATATTCCCTCCATCTTCCCAATACCTCTTACTCTCCATTTAATAACTCTCCTCTCCTATTTTTAACTGACAAATCCATCTGTTCTCTAGGCTTCCTTAACTTGTTAATCTCACTCCAAAACTTTTTCTTATTTTCAAAAAAATTTGTTGATAATATCTCACCCACTCTCTCATTTGCTCTCTTTTTACATTGCTTCACCACTCTCTTAACCTCTCTCTTTTTCTCCATATACTCTTCCCTCCTTGCATCACTTCTACTTTGTAAAAACTTCTCATATGCTAACTTTTTCTCCCTTACTACTCTCTTTACATCATCATTCCACCAATCGCTCCTCTTCCCTCCCGCACCCACTTTCCTGTAACCACAAACTTCTGCTGAACACTCTAACATTACATTTTGAACCTACCCCATACCTCTTTGACCCCATTGCCTATGCTCTCATTAGCCCATCTATCCTCCAATAGCTGTTTATATCTTACCCTAACTGCCTCCTCTTTTAGTTTATAAACCTTCACCTCTCTCTTCCCTGATGCTTCTATTCTCCTTGTATCCTATCTACCTTTTACTCTCATTGTAGCTACAACTAGAAAGTGATCTGATATATCTGTGGCCCCTCTATAAACATGTACATCCTGAAGTCTACTCAACAGACTTTTATCTACCAATACATAATCCAACAAACTACTGTCATTTTGCCCTACATCATATCTTGTATACTTATTTATCCTCTTTTTCTTAAAATATGTATTACCTATAACTAAACCC